CTCTATGCATTGAAACAACGTTGCTTTGTGTTTTTTGTTTAGCTGCCAACCTCTCTAGTCTCTGTCACCCAGTATGCTTCGTTCACCAGCACCTGCCTTGTGATGTTCTGTGGACAAACAGGAACTTAAAACCAAAGGAAAAAATGTATTCATTGCGGGGGTGGTTTCGCGTGATTAAACATTTATCCGCCAACGGATAAAGAGGGTAACTCAACACATGTTGATATCGTCTGATCGATCGAAAGAAGGCGGTGGTGTGAAAAGGGGCTATCATGGGAAGAGCGATGATTGTGAATGCGTACCTGCTCGAGTGTCTCGATAATACCATCGTCGTTAATTTCAATTCATTCAGTATTATACAAAGAGATCTCAAGGATCGTCCATTATTCGATCGTGGTGTGATCGAGCAAACGATTGACGTTCGAATTCTTACGAGCCAAATGTATATAGATGTATTCTACCGTAAATAATTATTAATAGAACGGGGTTAATGATAATCTGGCGATGGGGACGTTAATCTATTCTCGATAACAACATGAGTTTCAGGATATTTTTAGCGATACCTATAGCTGAATATTTTATTTATGAACCTTGGACATTGTAGAATATGACGTGAAATATGGATACTTGCTCAAAATTGCATTGGATATATTTGAATTTAAAAAATTTTACATAACGACGTTCACCTTTTGAAACAGAGTATAATTTTTCGTCAAAATATATTTGTAAGAGATCCTAACGTAAAATACTTGATATTGAACACTGGTGTCTTAGTACGTTTCTAGAGAATCAATTCCTTTCTTTAATTGTATCTTATAAAAAAAGAAAATCTTACCGCGTTCTCTCGTCGGTCGAACACTGGCATGCTAACCGAAGTCATTAGCTTGTATTCCTGGAGATCGTGCGATTGGTCGTGCGATTTCTTCTGCTTTTTCACGAACCTGCGATCTCGTTCCTCGGTATTGAATAAACCTTTTTTCCTGTGAAGTCTAATAAACCTTTCTTGCTGCTCTTCGCTTTCCCTTTGCTCCCACAACCAGTCAGTCATTTTTGGATCTGTCACGTCGGCGTAAACTGGAGTCCAGATTGTCGGATGGTCCGTACGACCAAGCACCAAAGGCCTTGCCATTACAGGAACATATTTGAGGACCTAAAGATGATAATTTTTCAACTGTTTAATCTAATGGATATGTATGCTAAATTAAAATATAATTAGTGGAGATGACACAAGAGATTATTCATTTGGTTTATGTACCTCCTCCCTAACTTCAGCCAAGGTACAAAGATGTACGAAATAGCCCCTATTGGCACACGCCATCCACTGAACTTCCTTTACGTCTGCCACCTCTCTGCCAATCAGATAAGTGAACATTCTAACCGGCATGTCGGCTTTAAAAGGATCGCTTGGATTGTCTCTCCAGTTGTAACCCTCGAAGATTTCCTTGTAGTTATAAGGGACGCCGTCTGTTATCAGCATAATCGCTTGGTTGCATCTGGCCCCTTCCCTATCAATTCGATAAGATTCCAGCAGCTCGAATGCAGTGGTCAAGGCCAACGAGAAATTCGCGATCTTCTCCGTGTCTAGATTCAAGATAGCCCTCTTTAATTCTCTCACGTTTGCTAAATTAGCTTGGACTAGTGTATCGTTGAAACATGGCACCACCTGGAATGCGATATTTTTACTAGCTTCTTCTACAATTCATAACTAATTCATATTCATTAATATCTTAATATTTGCTGTAAAATCTAGTCGCTTTATACTAATATAAAATCATAACTCCTTTAATTACCTCCTTTGTAACATTGGAGAATGTGATGATATTAACAAAATCATTGTTCCCAAGTGTATCCAAGATATTGTTTACAACATGTCTCGCAATTTCCCTACGAATTCCAGTCATACTGCCAGAAGTATCGATCAGAATAAGAATGTCTTTCGGGCTGGTTGCTGCCTCGATATACCAACTTCTTGTTCTGCAGTCGAACAAATCTACAGGTTCCATGTACCAGTTCATTGCAGGATATTGTCTCATAAAACCGGTCGCACTACCGAAATACTGCCAGGATAATGAAGGATCTTGCTCGTAATTGTTGATGAATATCTTGTCTAATTCTTCGGACCATTTAATCGCTCTAATCACGTTAGATGTTCGGTCGTAAACATTCGTCGGGACGTGTACTGCTGACATGTTCAAATTAACTTGACCACCAAAGTGATTACTGTGCTTCAGTTCGATTGTGTTGTTCTTTGCATTGACGTACGGAAAAGATTCTGGAGGATCGGCGTCTGGAGCGGACACAGCTAATGTTTCTGCGACGTCCATGATTCTCTGAGATAACATGTTGAGTATAGTATTTACAAATATGGTAATTTCAACTTTAACGTCTACATATTATTGAAAGCGTTATATCTTATAGCATCGAAGATGTTTTCGATTTTATATTAATTGAATCAGAGTATGTATGTATGTACCTTAATGGCTGATATCTTAGATTCCATCATGGCTTTGATATCTTTAGCGATCTCGTGGACTAGAGCATTACCATCACGTGGCTTCAGCGCTGCCTGTTTATAGCTTTCATGAAATTTCTCCACATTGGTCACATATTTGCCCAACTGCGACAGCTCGAAACCCAACTTGTGCGCCCATGTTTTCACTCTGCATGGAGAACAAAATTTCAAACGATTACGTGACTGTTTATTAACATTTTACTTAAATTTTAGACAATGGTATTTATTTATAAACTGAACATGTTCTTGCATCGAGCATGAGTTTTCGATATCTAAACATCGTATCGGAAGTAAGCATATAGTTAACGTACTTGAAACGTTACAATATTGGGAAACGATTAAATTGTTATTCTCAGAAGCTTCTTATACTCTACTAAAATTCTGCGTACAATAAGTGAAATCTAATGCTACCTACATTATTTGTAAATAATTACAAAATTATTTACTTAAACATCTTAATTATCTACTAAACTTTCCATTGCTTCAGAGGTCTAGCAAAAAAAAAAACAACCTAAATATACCACGTGAAATCTATAAACTCTACTGTTCTCCATTCCCAAAATTTATAGTATTTTAAAAATTTCGTATCATTAAAGGCAATTTGGATTAAAACTGCAAGAAGATCGACGAAATAAACCGATAGAAAATATATTTCAACGTACGTTTTCATTCGCGATAGGGGTAGCGCATGTGGGCTGATGGTAATAAAGTCGTAACAATCCAACTGATAACGTACTTAAAATTCGAATGTCGAGAACCAATGAAATTTCTAACTATTTGCGATTGTCTCGAACGACTTACGTGTTGTACGATATGCTGTCACCACGGTCGGGTGCCTCGATCAGGATCAGGATGACGATAGCAGGTAGGAAACGGGGCCTCATAACTCTCGTCTTCTTCGGCGCTCTGCTGTTTACGCGAGGACACGGTAAACAAAACTGAGGCCGGGAGGAGGCTCGCGTCTGACATTAAGGATACTCCGGACCGGCCGTAGTCGTTGTCGTCGTGCTTGTCGCTGCCGACGTCGCCGCCATGCAGTGCGCGCACCGTTTTACTCCAGACATCACGGTGGTGGCGATGGCATATCGATCGTTTGCCGAAGTGCGGAGCTTGCGCGCGATGGTGACCAGAGGTGTCGCGACACCGCTCGTATAAAGCCGCGTCGGATGAAGTTTTAAAAGGCCCCAGTCACCGATCGAGATGAAATTTGTAGGGCGGCGGCAGTTTGGGGGGCGGGGGAGTGGTCGAACCCTAAATTTAAAATTTCCGTTTTGCGTATTTATTAGTTTTTGGGATACTAATGAAAAACTTTTGACACTATATATTGAATTCCGTTTATACGCGCATGTCCGTGGCAATACCACAATGTTCGTGATTTACTATTCCTTAACTTAGCTACTCTGTTTCTGTAAACACACGGCAGCGGCCGACAAGCATTATGTATAACGGGTGAACTAGTTGGGAAAGTATCTTCATTGAAGTAAATATTGCCTTTCGGTGAAATTCAAAACTTAGGGTCGTGAGTGGGGAAGGGGCTCCTTGGACCGTTGGCTACGTACATACGAAATATATCGACTAACTGTATCCTACTTTTACTTGTATTTTTGAAGCGAAAAATAGTTACGACTTTTACGATCTTCTCTATTAAATGTCTCCATTTGAGCTTTTCATTGATGTATTGCTTCCTCTCGTTAGTGTGATCCTTAATATTGTAGTACAGCCGAATCAGGGAAAATGATAAAGTCCTCCGTTGATTTAAAATGTTTTCGTAGGTTTCTTGAAATAAATAATTGTAAAGATTAGAATAATTGTTTAAAGATCGGTTTAGAAAAGTAGCATTTTACATGATGAAGGAATTAGTTTAATTTAGTGCTAAATTTGAGAGAGAGGTTATTGTCCAGGTTTAGGAAAAGATTGCCCTTGAATTTAGAACTTTCTTGAACCGGTAGGGAAGAGGAGATTAGGGATCCAATGAGTCCTCGTTGAAGGAAACTTTTCTAAAACATGAATTATCGAGTAATTAATTGTTCAAGGTAAAAATCTGTTTACACTCAACTAATTGTTTTCATCGAGTATAGCTGTATTAAATAACGGTTAAGAAAATAGGATAAGGAAATTACAGCTGACGAAGAAGTTATGGTCTGAATAACTGGGAAGAAGGGGGAACAAAACATTTTCTGGGCCAAGCTCCTCTCGCCCTATCAACAGACCTCGTGACGCCGCCAGAAAATCGTATCTCGCATGGGTAGAAGGATATTTCGCCAGGCTTTATGTTCTCTTTTCTTCGGTACGATCGATTTGTTCTTGGATGTCTTTGGTCCACAAAAAGAACGAGGTCTGGCTTACGAAAACATCAGGTTGATTATTTTCAGTCTGGATAGATATTAAAAATGCAAAAACTATTATTACTGATCTTGTGTTATTTTTATAACATACTTTAATAATATTTAAAATTTTTATTTTATTCTAATTATAAATAATTGCGGGGTTTAACAAAAGGAATATCAACATTATCATTACACCATCCATATAGCATAGTTCGCGTCGTCCACAGGGAAGTCAATCTCATTAATTAAATACATAATTATCTTTTTTTAAATAATTATATAAATGCACATAAAATTCTAGCTATAATAGTGGAGAACAATAATAGAGATACAGTCAGTTCTGATGCCCCTCCACAGTCCTCAATCTCATGCTCCAAGGGGTGCTCGGTGAAACAACCCTCTAGACGCCTTCTTTTAAGGTCGTTTAGTGGAATTTTATGACAAGGCGCGGTTTCCGAGCCATTCGTGTACTCGAGCGGCGAAATGCTCACAGGTGTTACCTCTAATCTCTTGTAGCAGGTCGAGTACATGGCATCGACAACTACCAATAATAAATTCGTGTGCGGCACCTGAAAACCATTTATTTTCTATTTAATTCTTAAATTTTTCTTTTTCAATAGTATTATCTTTAATATACACAATTTTAAAGATACGTTAATTTATCTATTCGAGAATAAAAAGAAAGACACTGACCCTGCGGGCATAGAATGGCCTTGAGCAATAATCCGAGTGATTTGTAATACCCTGGCTAGCGATTGTGTTGTTTATCATATAAAGTATCCTTTTCTGGTCGCAAGGATAATGATAGAGATAAGGTTGGGGCGGAAGCGGTGGGTCCGGGGTATCTTCGTCGAAGTGAACTTTGGCGAAGCTGACTGGCAAGTTCACGAACTGGGTCGTGAACCACGTCACACGCAGTAGAAACCAGAGCAACAGTTTCCAGACATACATCAGCGGGTCCATCAGAGTACTGGCCGCATCACTGATGCGCTGCGGATACGATTTTGTTCTTGTGAGATTGTTTTTGTGCCGGCCGAGTTTCGCATTTTGTTTGCGAAACGTTTCGTGGCAAGTTAGGACTATCTTTCGCTCGACGATGGAACTTTTTCTTCAGCGGAACTTCGCACGAATTAGAAATATGTCATCAAAGAACGGAAACGGGTTCGTACAGCTTCCGGGAACTTTCCGATTATTTGTTTTACTTGTTTCTCAGACTTCTTTCAGAACTTTACCTTACATTCGGATGCTTCTCGAGACACAGAGCTTTTAACAAGCTTTTGCTCGGTGATGGAACTTGAAGTTTATATGTTATACGTTGTGGATGTTGTGAATGGTTGGTAAGAGAGAAGAGAAAAAGTGGAAAAAGAGAGGAAATAAGTTTCGCCTATGTCTTACTTGTCATTTCATGTCTTGTCCTTAGATGAGGAAAGAATGGAAGAACTTAGAAGGCATATTCGTAAAAGAGTTATGCTATGCAGTTATTTAATGTCTAAGAATGGAATTGTATTATGATACCTTTGGCAATAAGTGTAGACAGGTTATTATACAATTTTAAAGGAGATTAATATAGGTTCAAGTACTTACAACTTCTTCGCACCAGGCTTGATAATCGTAAATGTCAACGGGATTATAAAGACCCTGGCCGACCATGGAGTTCATCACTGCACCTTCCTGTGTACCCATGAATTGGCCGGTGTCATTATGCGCATCCGATATCACCACGTAACCGTTTTGATCAAGTAAGTAACAGTCTATCCAATTGTGGCCACAGTTCATCAAGGTTGAGTTGCTTGGTCTAGAAGTCAGTTTAATGAATCTCTTATAAAGGCCTGTTATTGGCATTTGAAAGCCAATCACCGCAGCTGGTGCCGTTTTGCCGCCGTCTTTTGGAAATATTCCAATTGAAACTGTAACTATTGCATCCGCCCCCGCTTCCCAGGGAACTGAAATCATTTAAAATGAAAATTTTATGTAAAAGATTATTAAAATGCAGATAAGTAAAAAATGGTTATTCTTTCTAAGCACCTGACAGAGATATGCTGTTAGGGTCCAAGTTATTCTGAAAAATGGCACCTTTATACCAAGGTTCATTTACAGCTCTTCTATGAAGATCGCCGAAAGCAATGTCATCATCATTTTCGATTATGTTGTTTAAATCTAAATGATGCCATCTAGTCAAACCACTTTGAGTGGCAACGAATCTTAAAAAAATTCCATAATCTTCTGCTAAATGTTTCGCTCGCGAATCCTCTAAGATGAAATCATTGTTGAAGCTGGCGTTTGTTGCTTTGGCATCAAAAACTAACAGCTGCATTAGTTCTTTGTTACAATAGTAATCATCATGTGTTAAAGTCTGTCTACCACAGTTAGGAACATAGTCAGTTTCATCTTCATTAATGGAGTAAGCCTCATACTGCTCTGCCCAACGCCAGCTAGGGTCATTTAACAAGCGCAAAAAGTGTTTCAGCTCGTCCTCAGGATTATCGAATTTATGACCTTCTAAATAGTGATAACGACAGTATACCCAACTAGGATGCACTCGCCAGTTGTCACCCATGAAAAACTCGGAGATATTTACGTTCATGTTTTGGTTCCTTCGGATTTCGTCTCCAACCTTTAGAAATATTTCGTAAAATTGTTAATATAGATATTTCTTTCCATAAAAAATTTTCTTCTAATATATTAAGTCAAAAATAGTTGTACTTTTACAAATAATTATTAAACCTTTGAATTTTACATCTTTTCCTTGTTTCTTTAGCTTACGTGAAACCCAAATTAACCGCAAGAAATTTCGCGTGCTCGATCGCTTATTAAGAAGCTTCCGTAGACAGTTGGTGTTTACTATCTAAGCTTGTTCTAGATCTCAAAGTTTATGCGTTCCACAATCTCAAGAACGCGAGTCAAGCTCGTGGCATCGGGATCACCGGAACTAACCGGGAAACTCTGAGCTTCCGTAAACTTCTAGCAATGCGTGTGTACACGTGATATAAAGAAAAGATTACCTTGATCCAACGTGTGCCATAGTTCGGTATAGCGACCGCAAGACCGAAAGGTGTTCCGGGGAGAGGCGCGTAGAAGTAGTCACGTCTTTCAAGAGTCACCCGACGGTTGTCGTCGTAATGCAATTTCACGGGTATCCCTTTCAAACTACCTCTTTTATGGTCCACCAGCGCGGCCCGGAGTTTCAACACCTCTGGCCCAGGATTCCTGCACTCGTTTTTAATAAAAACTCTTTTTAAACCTCTATGGTTTGCCATATAGCACGGAAGCAATATTTGTTGATTCTCATAATTTCAAGAATTAATAGACAAAAGAAGGAAAATCTAATTCAGTTTTTTATGTAAACTACCTAGGACCTCGACCATCATCCAAGATTTCCACTTCTGTGAGGTCGATACTGTTATAATTGAGCTTCAAATTTCCTTTGAAAACGGGCCTCAAATCTGGGTGCAATATCACGTATCCGTTATTTGACACGATAAAGGCGTATCCATTCACACCTAACTTGTATGGCAATGTGAGTTCTCGGATGTCATCAATTGGTACATCCGTGCCGGCCACACCTAGTAAATTCGCCATTCTTGTTTCATTGTTGCGATTCCCTTTACGGTCGAATACTGGTGTGCTGACAGAGATAAGGAGTTTGTATTCCTGCCGAGCTGTCGTGTTCAATAGAGATGCATCCTGCCGAACGTCCTCATCCTTGTGGATCTGTAGGTTGTTGGAGATACACATATATTTATTTTCTTTCCATTGCAACTATATTATACCCTGTTTGTTTTATGTTATTCCCTGGCTTAACGAGTATTAAATGAGTATCAAATCAAACTATGTATAAAAAAGGATAATGATACTTGATGTAGCATAAGATTTAAAGAACCATAAATCATTGTATAGACGCTGTGCAGTCTTGTTTGCCTTTGCCTAATCTTTTACCTTTACAAACTGTGCAACGGTCTAAGTTTCTAAAGAAAATTACATGCAAGAAAATAAGGAACTATGTGTCTATTCAAATCCCATTAGCCAATCCCATAGGCCAATCAAAAATTGTTTCGTTCAATGGGTTTAATTAAATCAATTTGAGGAAAAAAGAAAGAATTATTAAAGATGAATGAAAAATAAAATAAAGGTTACTAATAATTATTTGCAGGATTTGCCTAAATTATCTGTTGGGCGACACTACTAGTTTTACAATCAACTAAATGCCAGGGGAGAGAGCGCATTGAACACGATAAGGCAGCTTTAAAGCTACAGGCGTGATTGTTGTTTGCTTTGAACCTGCTGTATGTAGATATCGTCCTCATTTATTCGCACGCCCAGACGTTTTCCTTTTAGATATTTCTGAAGTCGTGATTGTTGTTCCTCATGCTGCATCACCAGCCACAGCCACGTGGCAAGTGCTGGATTCTAGTGAAAGGCGAATGACAACGTTTACAGAATTGGGGATACTATGTACAAAGTGAAACACTCAAAGAGGGTACAGTGCCATAGATACTTTTGAAAGTATAGATCATTAAGATTGTTGCCAAATACTTTATATTCCTCAAACACCTAAAATCAACTGATAATCAAGTAGTAGTGTAATTGTGATTATGAATTCATTACACATGAATTGATTTAATTTATACTGTTATAAAAATCGGACAAAGACAGCATAACTTGGGCAAATAAATAATTATCTCACCGTAATATCTGCATAAGCATGAGTCCAAACAACAGGGTGTATAACTTCTTGCAGTACCATAGGTCGTGCTACCACAGGTATATATTTCAACACCTGTTCCCGAACTTCCTCTAATGTGTGAACATGCGTGTAGTAACCGCGATTTAAACAAGCCATCCATTGAATTTCCCGAACTTTGGTGACTTCTTTGCCCAAAAGATACGTGAATACTCGGACAGGGATACGAGTATCATTATCTCGCCAATTCCAGATTTTGAATACCTGAGCAAAGATTCATAAACTTTGTATACTATAAACGTCTTATTTATTGTAAAAAGAAAAAAGAAGAAAGAAAGAAAAACAAAATTCATTCAAATCTTTCGTAGAAAGAGGAACATTAGCAGAGTCATTCGAAAGAGTATACTCTTTTTCACACGTAACCGTGACTATAAAGTTTCGCGTAATTATGATGCAACTGTGTCGCACCGTTATTGTTGATGGTGCGTTTTCTAAGCGCTAGGAAGAGCGATAAGGAAACGTGACAGAGCAGAGAGTTTATACGTACGGAGCAAGAAAGAGGAACAAACATGAAAGACCAACAGAGCAGTTTGCGAAGAGGGAAAGAAGAATGAAAGAGAAGAAGATCAGAGAAAGACGAAAGGAACGTGAACGAAAGAGAGAGGTGAGATAGAAAGACAGAGATCGCTATGATCTCTCAGCGGTTCGAGTGGGATCTCATACAACTGAAGAGCTATTCGCCGAGGATAGAGCTGGAAACGCGACCTTTTTCTCTGGTGGAAATCGCTGGACCTACTTAATTTTAGTACGGTCTCACGATAGCGTAGCGTCTTCTTGTGTGGCGAAATGTGCTCGTTTTCAACGTAGCCTGATAATATAAATTTCGCAGAAACACAGCTTGGATAGGGTAAATTGTCATAAGCATGGGTAGCAAGTTAAATGGTTTAACGACGGAATGTTAAATGGTCCGTCGACAAAAATGAGCACTACTTTTTGAGCAATGGAGCAATTAATTAGAGAAGTCTTTTGCTAAGCAATGAGTAATAGTATTTCGATCAATATACAGACAAATTACTGTGCTACGCATACTTCGTAGAAAATTGTTTTCACTCTTATTCAAGTTAAATTGTCTGCTTAAGCATAATTATCTTGTTAAATACAATCGCTTTTTTGCTACCGGACATGAACTAGGAAAAACCTATATTTTCAATACAGAGAGAAAAGGAAAAATGTTGAAGATCTATTTGTTTACTTCTGTCAGATTTCCAGGAACGCCATCCGTGACCAGCATAATTAGCTGATTGCACGGTGTGTCAGCACCACATCCGCGTGTTTCCCTATAGGTGTTCAGAAGGCTGAAGGCTCTGGAGAACGCTTCTGTCAAATTAGCAAGTCCCTCTGTTTTGACATTTATTATAGCTTTCTTGAAAGTATCTATATTTTCTGGGGTAGCTTGGATTAGCATATCCTTAAAGCAAGACACTACATCGTAGGTCTCGTTTGTATAGCTCAGTACAGTCACAAAATCGTTATTCGAAAGCGTATCCAATATTACGTTCACTGTGGTTCTTGCTGAAAAAATAATTATAAAAAAAGACAGACATTTGAATGTTGAACTTTGAAGGAAACATTCAAATAATACTAGATATCTTATTTGCATTTAATAGTGTATTTAATAGTGCTTACGTAGCCAATATCTAGTTTTCTAACTATTGGGATTTAATTGTTTTATCGCGAGCAATAACGGAAAGATCGCATAATCTTCATGGAGGTTTGGGCGATATAATTGCCTCGACATAGTATCCTCCCTAAACAATGCACGTGTAACCTCAGATTCGTGATGCATTCCGAGTATGCATTACACAATTTACACGGGTCGACCGCAAGTGTATTCTAACTACGACTCTAAAACGTCTTCCACCAACACACCAGGTAGGCTATTATGAGTTCCAAACTTTGTGAATGCATATAATGAGTGTAACAATGCGTATAAAAGTGAAATCGTAAAGTTAAGGAAAATTAAAAACTTTGCAAACAAGATACCAGACTGAATCAAAGTTAATGTTATCCTGCTGCATCATGCGGTTGAGGAGTAATTTCATTCAATTTACTTCCTACTCGAATTAAGTGAAATCCACCCCGCGGTTTTAGGATTGAAATACTAATGAGTTCATTCACCAATAGTCTTTCCCATGCCGGCCATGCTGCCACTGGTATCCATTAGGATTACCATGTCCTTGCTACAAGTCGCTGCCTCAATGAACCAGCTGCGTACTCTGCAATCATAAATGTCAGTCCCATCTCCACCTCCTCCATCTTCCCCTCTGTTCTCCGTGTTTTGTGCAAAATCTGTCCTCCACTGCATGGCAGGATATTGTCTCAACATTCCCGTGACAGACCCGAAATATTGCCAGGACAGTGCCGGATCTGACTCATAGTTTTGTCGGAAGATATTGTCGAGGGCTTCAGTCTTTTTAATGTCCTCGACCACCGCTGGTGACATGTCGTATACATTTGTTGGTATATGTATCGATGAAAAACTTGTATTTACTGGTATATTGTAGAAATGTGAGTCGGATGTTAGTTCTATTTGCCTGAAAATATTTTTAATAATCAAATTTGTGTTCCTAAACGGAAAATAGATTAATTTTGTTGCGTATAAAGAAACAAGAGAATGTCGTTACTTCGTACTACATATCATTGCACAATTTAGCTTGAACGTATTTTGTAATTTGATAAAAATTTGTTTAAATCTAGTTTCGTTTAATTTCTATGTTTCAAGAGAATGCTTTTCATTTCTTCGACCGCTAGATTATTTAGACTAGGACAGAATGCTAGACCCAATTCGTGGTTCGACCGTTCACCTACGAATCGATGTCGAAGACGTTTCAAGCTTCTCAGCCTAATTCCATCCGGTCCCACTAACCAGAATGTTTCGACGTTGCACTCGAATTATTATCGGCGTGAGATAATTGCATTCATTCAATGAACATTATCCTTCATCTCTCTATATACAGGGTGGACCATTGGTTCGAAAGCAATACATCTGTAGACCCTTAGATTTTTTTTAAATGCAACAGTGCATGTGCAATTAATTGCATTTTCTTTTTTTTAAAGAAAATGAATATTTCTTATTCAAGAAACTTCTTAATTAACATCTTATTTAACATCTCGAATCTAGCCCTGCTGTACTTCCCACATACAACTAACCACTCTGTCTACTTTAGCATAACAATCCATTTGTTCATCTACTTTCGATCATTCGAAGTTTAAATAAATTACATTTCTTTAATAATATATTCGTCGCTTTAACAAATACGACTACGCAACATAGTTATATTTAAACTACTTTCTTATGTTTCTTTAACATACACGCTGGTAATATGATTAAATTAATCTCCAGTTTCTTTAGATTGCAAAAAAATAAGAATCTAAACAGGTAAAATGCTGTTTCTGTGAACCTGTAAGCACTGATGTTCTTCTGCATGTTTTCCGGGATCTCTGGTGGCGTGTCATTCACCACCGGGCTGTACTTGCCGGAAACATAGGTGAAATTTGCACCTTCGTCATCCTCCCAATTTTCTGCGTATTCCTCAGCCGTCATCCGGATGCAGGTCACTGCATCCATCTTCCTCCGGAGCATCCTGCCGACGTTCTCGCTGATTATGTTCACCAGTTCCATCCCGGACTTATCTGCCACTCGCGTGTTCATCGTTTTGTATTTCTGCAATTCATTCGGGGTTACAGTTACTACGTCTCCCCTTCGACCTGGATTCTACCGCTTTTTCCCTCTCGTCACGCCATGCTACTATTAATTTCTTGCCCCGAAACCGCGGCCTTTTTTTTACTCGTACGCGCCCGTGTCCCGTCGTATTGTTCTTTTGAACAATACGTAATGAACCCGGCTGTTCGTTCCTTCGTATCGAAATAAAGTTTCAGGGAGAGAAAAAGCGGAAGAAACTTATGACTTTCAAGTAATAATGTTCCCATGATACATTTTGCCCTGATAGCATACGTGATAATAGCGTAAGGAAGAATTTATTTTCCACGACTGCACTGTAATATTCTTACAAAAAAAGAATGCAAATCTAATTTTTTAATTATAGTGTTCAATTTTGGTACTATAAAAATGGCGTCAAACGGTAAATTTTTAACAGGAGTTCGCTCTTTAAACTGTAAGTGTCGTGAAGAATTTAGCAAAAAATATTTTTGAAGCACAATAACTTCACGAATGTCAGTTGGCTCATTGTCGCTCCTCGAATTTCCACCTGGCTTGTTAATAGCAACATCTGCGTTTTCGCATGGTTATACGGTGTCCTCGTTAAAATGGTAAGACTGATTGCCAAACAACGTGAACCAGTTTCTTTTCTATTAACCAATTTCAGGCATGTCCTTGTGAAATATGCATAATCGTTATGGCAGCCTGTGGTGCTCCATTTCGGATGTTTAATGGAAGTAATAGCCTATTGTATTATAAATCTTGTCTTCTATTAATAACACCACCTACGACCTAGTCGGCATCATTGCATCACCGTGGATTATCATAACAAACGCTCGAGATGCACTAAGTGTAAAGTAAAAAATAATAAAATTATATATTTCATAACAAAATTTTTAAATTATTTAATGATTAGAAAAAAATATAAATACTTTCTGTGTAAGACATTTTTTCTAATACAGAATTAATTTTTATTGTTTTCTACAAAGTTACGTATTCTGCTTTTATTATAAATCCAGAGAATAAAATATTATTTTTAAATATCCAATATTGTTAGTTAACTTTCTTCTTTAATAATAGAAAAACTGTCTTACTGATATAATATTTTGCATAGATTTATTTTAAAATGAATATCTGTATTTTGCAGTGTTTAAGAGTTCAACATAGGCAACTGATTCTACGTTCCAAATGTATCACAGGCGGCATCTGTGCATGGAAACTGCGTTTGAAAGCTTCGCTGCACTTTCCATGCGTAGATCACTCAGTTTTAAACTGTACAATGTAATTTTATTTAATTTTTCAGGGTTATCCCTGTTAAGCTACACTTACAACAGTCTGCCCCATCAATAAATCACCTCTCCATAAAAAGAAATTATCTATGTTATTAACGTTATTAGCAATTACCACGGCAAGTTAACTTATCGTAAGTCGATACATTGTACCAGCATAATAATTTATATCTTCATTATTTCCTTTTTATTCAACGTTTTGTTGTTTTTTGTATCTAATTACCTTTTGTGTCTACTTTTTCCTATTTTTCTTATGTTAAGTTTATTTTTTCTAGCATTCCTTTGTTTATCTTTCTCTTTCTTCGTTTTCGCTTTTTGTTTTTTTATCTTTTTCATCTGCATTAAATGACAATAGCCATGTATGGGAGTGTAACAAAAATAGTTCCATCTATCAGTCGATAGGAAGACGATAGGACGATAGAACGATAGGAAGATGTGCATCTAAGCATTAAATACGGACACGGCTACACGCACGGTTGGAAATTGAACTTACGTTTAATAGTTCTTCAGATCTCGCCACCTTCTCTGCAAGTTCCCATAATTCGGCGCCCAAGGTCTCTGCCCATCGCGTGACTCTGAAGAGCAATGAAACGTCGATAAGTAAATGAAATAAATGTATTTTCCAATTAACGTTTAATTAAATGGATAATGAAAGAAATTGTCAAATTATTATCAAATCAATGTATACTACAGGATGATAAGTATATATCAACATCTTAAAAATGACAAAAATATCCTTTTTTCCAGTTAGTAAACTTGTACTAATAAAAATATTGACTTCAAATATATATAACCATATTTAATCGAAAAAATACAAATCAATAAAAATTGATTAAAGTAGAAATAGATATCGCGCAAAATCGTGTATAATTCGTTTCGATGCATAATCTGTGTCACTCAAAAATAATCACACGTTTGATATGATCATACTCATAACGGTTAACACCATTTCCACGCACGAGAAAAAAGGAAATAAATTTTTGCGAACGCACTTATGCCCAATTCAGTGCCATCTATGATACGAAACAATCAAAATGTTAACGTTACTCACGTATACGTGTCTTTGGCTAAACAGCCGGTGCATAGCAAGCAAACGACGAGAGTGATCCAACTATCGATTCTCTGTTGCATTGTTCAGGCGGTAGAGATTCACGTTACACCCTGGTTTAACCGCAAAACTATCGCAAATCCCAACGCATCATCTTATTTTGTTTTCTAAACCTTGTAAATCCAAACCTGCTACCACACGTTCACGTTTACGTTAGCGTCTCCAAGTCTCTTGAAGCTCGAGAGACCGGCAAGATGTCTCGATTATTTTTGGTACACGAACAGTGCCGTCTCGTAAATCGACGAACCACGAAACTCGGTTTTCCATCACGTTCTTCCCTTCGCGTAGTCGCGTGTATTTATAAAATAGTAGCCCTAGGTTTCGTGTATGAGTACGCCACTAGATACATTCGGGCGTATCGATAAATCGCGGGAGACCTTTTTTATCGACATTGTGTTCGACATATTGTCCTTCATTAATCGATAATCGATTATTGTAAATATGACATTTTTTTCGACTGTGGGATATTCGATATGATATTTTCTTACTTAAAAACAGAAAACTTTACTCAACTTCTTTCTATATAATACTACTCGAGAATTATTATGAAATTAACAGTGAATAAACTTTACATTAAAATATATTATTTAATGATGATATATATTACATATTAAATTTCGCTAATACAATTATAGGAATATCTCTACTCAAAGAAATATCTACGAATTCTTCAAGATGATATTAATCGAATAAAACATCTTATCGTGTAACTGATACGTATAAACCGCTTATGAGACACATGAACGTGAGTAACCGGAGATCTGTGTAACCATAGAAAAAGCGGATACGTATACAACGGCTGCATTTTTGCGTAGACTGCAGATGCCATGTTGGAAATTTCATATCATCGTTTCCATTTTCTAAAATTCATTAGTATTTTATAACTGCGAATTGTGAAGTTCACGTGGAACAAAATAATAGCATATTTGCATGATTGTATGTTTGATATGAATTATGAACTATGAAATATGAACATCGTTGAGATATTTAATACAGTTTGATCATACTTTCAAAGTGAATCATAAAATATCATTCGAAAGTTGCGTAACGCCAAAAACACGCACACCCAATTGTACGTTCCACGATCATCTGGTGACCGATTCGCTAATGAATGACCGGCTGGTGGCGTGTACTCACTTAAGGTAGAATCGAGAGTACGTCATGCGTTTAACAAGTTTCAAAAGACGAGCTACAGTTCACGTGTTTGTTATCAAAATTGCTGCATCGTTGCTGCTTATTACAATTAGTTGGTATCTTATCACATACAGTTACTAGGTGAAGGTTAAGCATTAATAAGAATATTTTGTATGTGCTTGAAAATGTGATGATTTTAATTGACCAATTGCTTTACGGTTTGAACAACTTTCTTTTCTTGGTACACCATTTTTCACGGTTTTAATTATAGGTATACTTTCGTTCAATTATTCCTACCGCATTCTCTTACATTAATTGCTTGCTTTAAATAACTTTTTACAATTCCCTTCTGTTTAGATCTCTTGAGCATACATACATATGTACAGACATATAACGAAGTAATGAAAATACACATAAATTTGATAAAGTTTTTATAGTGTTTTGTAAGTGAAATCCGATCATGGATCAATTCTCCGAAATACTGCTTGGTTTACGATCCACTTTGAAATCGACAAACCGATTCGACCTCGGGGAACCCACCGCAGCCCTAATTTCGTATCCCTCGTCCAAAACGTCCAAAAGAACGACGCAAACTACACTATTACGCCTGCGTAAGGCCTTGACCGTGCGGCTCTTTTTTCTTACAAAGGGGATATATTCATATTTTGGCCTATCAAAATATCACTCATAGAAGAAATTCAGAGGTATAAAAATGCGGTTAATTTATAATAAATTAATTACAACTTCAAATAATTAAAGTATTATAAGCAACAAACGAATTCTGCAACGAATACGAATGTTTTATAGGATTTATAAATAACAAAAACTACTGGGAGAAAAGGGATAACATATTTATGATGAAGAAAGATATCAAACGTTCGAAAAATTAGAAAACTCTTCGCCGCAATAAATGAAGCAATGTGTGACGTTTTAAGTTAATACTTTTCCTATATATAATACGTTTTAAGTTAATCCTTGCAAGTAGTAAACCTCATGTTTGAACAAAAATGACAATCTTTAAATGATAGCGTGCATTGCGGTAATTATTGGACAATTAAAGTAATATCTTCTGCATCGTTGACACTCGATAAACTCGTCTTATCTTTTATTCGATGATATTTATATCGAGTTTCCCGGTAAAGCCGATCTAGGAAGAATCTATGTGGTTAATTCTTCCACAAACACATTTTTCTTTGAATTTTCCTTTTTAGCATAAACATTGATTCGTCAATTTCATATTTAATCGATGTAAGTCGATGTAAATCATTATAAGAATACTTGATCCTTCCCTGCAATTTGATAAAAGAGAATTTAAAAAACGAAATAAATATATCGAAATATATGGAATATCAAAGTAGGAGGTAAGTGATTGATAATTACAAAAACAAATTAATCTGTTTAGCTTTAAATACTTTGACAGGAAGCATGCAAAAATTATCTTTCTTTGGTCGATAAGGAAATTATACTCTGTCAAAGTCAATATTTTATGGCAAAGAAGCGGCCAGGACGTTAAGCAATGTTACACTTGCGATGAATCCTTCGCGAGTCGTTCGTAAAAAGGAGGAAACTCACTGGCAATTATTATCAGAACGTGTCGAAAAGGTGTTCGTGGGGAACAGTGCCGTAGAACGCAAGGGGAAGCAGCTGGTGCATAGCGATTGATATTGATTTGAAGCACGCGGAGCCGGTTGCCGGGCAGTCACGGGCCAAGCGTACGCCGAACAGGAGGCCGGACACAAATGCCTCCCGAGTGCGAGGAAATAGAGGACCATGGCGTGCCAGAGAAGATTTCCTGCATTGATGGCACGATGAAGGAATATCTACGGTTCCAGACACTCCCCACACTATCCGGTGCGAACATTTATCCTCGTTCTTTCCTTTGCTTCCGCTTTCTTTTTTTTTCTTACGTTTACAACATGACGTTCGTCCTAGAGCGAGGACTTCAACTTACATTCGTTGCTGAGTAACAGAATTTCTAACTTGGTGTAAAACACGTGTTGATACATAGTTTTTGATTAGTGTCAGAAGAAAAATTCTGAAGAGTTGTTCTATGTTTCTAGAAGGATCCAATAAGACAAAGTTGTTGTGGAGTTTCATGATTGTGTTTTTCGTCGGTACGTATGAATAGTCTCCTTTCTTTGGCATCATTAGTTACAGGAATGTAGAAGGTATTTTGAAGTTCGGAGCCCATACCTGAAAAACGCAGTGTCTTTTAATCAGAGAAATTGGAATGAAATCGTTGAACATTTTATGATAAATTATTTTCTTCGCTATTCTTTACTGTACAGTTACTCTAAAACTTTAGTATCTTCTACTAGCTTTAACGAGTAACGTTACAGGTAATAAAACCTACATTCCGTTTGTTTCTATAAGGCTCATAAAGAAAGATCATAGTGTGTCGGATTGACAGCTCTGTACCGCCTGTTCTAGTTCATATGCTCTTTGGCGTGCCTCAAGCGAGGGTTCTTCCTTTTCTTCGATTTTCAAAGTAACCTCTACAATTAATACAATGCCAAGAATAGCATATGCGTCGGTCCATGGTAAATTTATATTATCACGTCTCAACAATATACAGATTTCGTGAATAATAATTTCTGCGTAATAATTGAAATTTATATACTGAAACCCTAGCAATGACAAATTTCAATTATTTATCTTTAATTTCTCTAATTGAAATATATAAAATATTTTCAAGAAAACCTGTATAAAGCATTTATAATTTGAAAATAACGAGCTGAGGAGAATTCAATTCTAAAGGCGTCCTCAGAATGAAAGCCATTAACCGTGATGGCTAGGCGAAAAGAAATATCGTGCGTTCCATGGACGTGTGCACTGAAGCTCGGTCATTCAGGGGCGGTTTAAATACATAGCAAAGGGTAGAGGAAGGGAAAGGGTAATGTACGGATTGAATTGATTTCGCTCATGGTATAGGGTTTTGACCAGCTTGGCCAGGAGACTGATCAGTGACGAGTCAGGCGTGCTGTCGTGTAAGCAGATCGTGTGCTTATGGTGGTCGAAGATCAACGGGATCGAAGAATACATTGATCGTGTCTCAGCCCCCGACGGCTTAAGTCTACCTCCCCTTCGTGTTTCTGGTCAACAACTCGGTTCGTGATCCATTTATGTTCTTCTGCTCTATTTTATTTTAAAGTAACATCTTCGTTCCTTGTTTCACTATACGAACAACAATATTATCACATAAAATATAGATCTTTTATTTCTTTAGGATTTGATACTCGGAAATTTTGAATTTTTCAGATGTATTATATATAATATTTCTTTGTATCAAACTTCATAATATTAAAATATGATACGTACATAGATAATGAATCATGAATTATATCAATAACGATTTTATAGTGTTGTGATAACGAGGGATCGTGTCAGGTGTCACCATTAATAAATTGGACTTCGTTGCTCAGTTTACATTAAGAGAACTTTTAGTTTTCTTTTTATCTTGATTAGTATTTCCTTCGTGTTATTCATATCACTTGTAAATATCTTCCTAACAAATATTAAATTCAATTAGAATTTCTTTTCATAATTTTACATGACAATTTCCTTTTAATATTAACTGTAAATAGCTATTTTTCTCGATATAGTAATCTATGTAGGTATCACGTAAAAGATATACCTTACGTATAGTATCAGTTCTCAGAATACGATAATCAAATTTCAATGTAATACACGATTCAAATATTTCCATTCCTATTCCTACGCGACTATGTTTCTCCGCTCATTATTTTTACGTTATAGAAATAATTGTTTCATTAAAGTTATAAATTATTAAGGATATTGATTCTCAAATAAAAGCTGTTACCTGTATTCGTACGATAGTAGTGATAATAATAGAAAATTGTAATAAATTAAGAGGAAATTGGTATTAGCCGATTGACCATGCTACTACGACCTCTACGCATCTACGTATATATGAGAGATGCGTGAGCTTAGGGCGCTGTCCGTGCGAACCTCAGCGCCTTGGGTTAACAGGGTTAATTAGTTCAAACTAGCTTCCATCTGCGCCGGTGTTTGGACAATGCGATTAAAGATTTTACACGGCTGTCCCACCTCAATCGTTTCAATCGTTCAAATGGACGGCGTGACATATCCCTCTTTTATTTTTGCTGTTCAAACTATGATAACCTACAAATTATATTACATAATTATACCTTTGAATATATTTAATTATTATAGATATATTTGAATAGGATAGTATTGGAAGAAATAAAATGTACTATCTTATTTAATGAGCAACTAAATATTGATGTTTAAAATATCAGTTGATTTGCGTAGTCATACCTTGTGTTTCAAACCTCCTTGCGATTTGAAATGTTGATAGTTTATTGATTACTGTAATGCACTTATGTACGCTCTCTGAGAAATGTGTATCGAAAGGTGAATTTGTGTAAATTATGAGATTTAAAAATTGCTACGTTTGCATTCGATGCTTGTATCTTATCAAAAATTCAATATCATCTTACATAAACCTCTAAGCTATGTAAACTTAAACAGAAAAATGATTAATATATTTTATAATATTGTATTTTTGTTTATCATGTCTGATTTTTTAATAATTACAAATTATTTAATATCAGCACTAAGTATGGATAGAAATTGACATATTTTATTTAAATTAAAAAATAACGGTATTTAAATCAGCGCTAGTTTTCGCGCCAAAGATAAAATCCTTTGAATAAAGCCAACATGGCTGCGCCCATGATAGTTGTCTAACTACATAGAGGTTATGTTTACATTTCTATTACGACGGTATTATTTCACTTATCAGGTTTCTAACGTAGTTTTATTACATACAAGATGGTATCAATATCCTATAACAGTCTGTGGATTCCAAAACGATTCCTTTTTTTACTCGTGCAATGTTCGTCATGTAAGTTATTTTCTAATATGATGAATTTTCGAAACCGACTCTACGTAACTGCTTTGTATCTCTCTCTACAAAGGAATTCCTATTATTAAATCCAGTAAATATCACAGTATTACTATCGCCATTATTCACAAAAACAAGTGAATCACTTTCTAAAAATTCGTATATCAATCAGTTAAAATACTTACGTAATTTTCATTAATTTTGAATCGGTCAAAAATTTTGAGCGGGAAGTTTGCCGGAAATGAAGAAACACGCATGTGTACTAAAATATAATAATCACTGGTTTTAAACATAGTAATTAAGAAAGGTATGTCTAATCAGACTATAGTAATGCTATATAGACAGAGGTAGCTAACAGGAAGTAGGAAATATTGCAACTGTTTTCTATGTTTCGTAATTTGTAACGTGTATAATGCACAACCGTGTGCTTTCAAAAGTTTAAAGTTATGTAGCGAATTAATTGTATTACTTTTATCGTATATAATTATTTACCGAATATCTTACAATATTAATAATAAATATTATTTACTTGTAGGTCGTCGAACAATGGTAAATAAACTCTGGTGTCAGGAGGCAGCAAGGAAGTGGTTCTGTAAGAAAGACCAGCCACCACATTCACGAATCTTCTCCGAACCAAAATGTCAAAAACACGTAGCCACCTGGTACCTACTTTATCGTTGGTTAATTTTCATGGCATGGGCTTCTATTATAGTGTGTTCAATCTTCGAATTCGGCAGCTACCAACCAAGACCAGTATATGACACATGGCCAATATACTTGACCAATTGGGATTTAGTGTTAGGTGTCAGTCAAGCTTTCCTTGGTGGTTTTCTTGTATTGAAAAGATGGAAACTGCAAAAAGTATCAGATTTCGATCCTTCTGTGTTAATGCTAGGATCGATAGACATGGTTTATTGGTTCCTTTATGTTGTAACCACTAGTATTGCATTTGGAGTTACAATTACTTACTGGTCTAGCATATTCGATCCAAGGATTCACCATCTGGATCCTCTAAATATTATGCTACACATATGTAACAGTATTTTAATGATAGTAGATTTTTGTATCACGAGCATTCCGTTTAGATTAAGAAACTTTTGGTGGAGTTTAATTATAGTAATTTTGTACGTTATATTTTCGATATTATATTATTTAGCTGGTGGAGTAGATAAGCATGGTTACCACTATATTTATAAAATCCTCGATTGGAAAAAGCCTGTCCAAGCTTCGTTGGTATGTATAGGTGAAGCTATCTTCATAACTATATTACATTCACTAATGTATTTCCTAGAGAAAATAAAGAATCGATTGTATTTGAAAATCGATATAAAACTAGGAAGACCGTATACAGAAACACAAATGTTCAGTGCAGAAAAATGTACCGATATTGTTTGAAAATTAGCGATAATAGGCAATATTTTTATATAGTCCTACATTAAATTATCATTTGCATTTCTTTTTATTATTTGTACTTCTTAAAACTGTAGTTTGAAGTATTAATGTATATTTAGATAATTTAACTTTTATTTTGAAATTATAAATAGGGTTTATTGATAGTTATGAATAGCACCTAGATGATGAAAAGTGAAGGTTCCATCTAACGAAGTTTATATCACATTGACAATAACTTTATAAATGGAATTGTAAGATGATTAAAATTGTAATGCGGAAAAGTTTATATCTGCGTACGTGTACGATCATCGTATTTATAATTTTGTCATTGTGACACAGTATTTCTCAAATTATTTTATAGCGAAACATTATAATTCCTGTATAGGAAATAAGTTAGTACTTTTTGATAAACTTTTAATATTTCACAAAAATTAAAAATTTGCTATAAAAATAAAATTTTAAAATAATAGGAACTGAATTTAGAAAATAAAGACTAAAATACTACAGCCTATGATAATTTTGTTAAAGTATTAGTTATAATTTTTAACAATATGAAAATTTGTATTAAATAAAAATAATATATTAAAGATATTTTTAATACATGCATATACACGCATTTATAGGTATGAAAGTATTTAATTTGGTGCAGCTTGTATTTTGTCCAATTTTCTTTTAATTGTATTGTATGTCAATTTTATAAAAACATTCCAATTTTTTGTTTTATTAATATTTCGATATATCTTGGTTTATTATATTTTGAAACTATTGAATTATTATACATTAGTAAAAATTCTCAATGTATGAAATGCATCATAGTATGTAAACTACTGACATCTTACAAAATGTGTAATTAATTTTTTAATTCTAGTAAACAAACCTTATTATACATTGACTACTATATACACAAGGTTTCAGGAATATTATATACAATAGAAGAACAATGAATAAACTTTTTGGAAAAATAGCAACAATATTTTATTAATAAAATAACGATTTGAAGCAATTATGGACTGTAGTATAAATGAATGTAAGGCTAAAAACAAGCCTTTGATCACAGACCATATTAAAACTTATCCTACATTAAAAAATAACAATGATCAGTTTCTTTTCACCCATTTCCAAAGTACAGTCATGTATTATTCAAGTCCCCTCAGATTTATAGTATTTTCAGATGGTACTGAATCAAGTAGCAGTACCTGATACTCTGTTCCTACTACATCATCTTGGTAATACATTGAAGGTAATTCCTCTGTGAGTAATAAACCCTCTTCTAAATCACTTGTACCTAACACAACATCGGATGCTCCAACAACCGAATCTAACACAGCACCATTCGTCTTTAACTTCCACACGTCGGAAAAAGTTAAATCAGTCCGTGCGGAACCCTGATCTTTTCTCACATGTTGATTAGATAATTGCTTGTGTGTAGCAATGTTTGAAGAAGACTCCGACGTTTTCAATACATTATTAAGAGGTGGTGGTTCCGGTTCAGGAAGAGAACGATCTGTTTCTGAAGAAGTACTAAGAATAACTGCATCACAAGGTGCTACCATTATCATTTGCTCTGTAGGCTCTGATACTGAGGGAGCTGTATATAAAATGTAATCCATGTTACAGACCGAATCTTCAGACATTTTATTGGTGGTTTTATCACACTCTTCAACAGGAGTGCCATGTACTTTTAACATATGTGCTCTTAATGTCGCTTTTGTAGTATACGAACGCGTACAGGTTTCAACTGGACAATGATATAGAGTCTTAGGTTGATCTTGTAGAGGCACTGTATCATCTTTAGTTTGATTTACATTATTATTTCGAAATATTGTATCATTATGGTCAGATTTTTCTGTTACTGTTGATGTATTTATGCAACCTACATTTATGTTCAGATCTATTGACTTTCTTTTTGATTTCACAACCGGATTTACCCTGGAACATTGCATTTCTTTTACTTTACTTCGTTTTTGGCTACTGATGGTATCATATGTATTTATCTCTATGTCTTCCTTAACCTGATGCTTTTTTATATGAACGTATAAACTACTTTTTGCAGAAAATTTTGCATTACATATAAAACATTGAAAGTATCTTCCCTCTTTATGGGTTAATCTATGTTCCTTAAGATGTTCTGATCTCATAAAGGCTTTTCCACAGGAAGGAACATCACATACAAACTTCCGTTCATTAGTGTGTTTCTTTTGGTGTCTCTTTAATTTACTAGAGGAAGAAAACGCCCATTGACAACCTTGAAACGTACAAAGGTAAGGTTTACAACCGGTATGCGAACGTATGTGTGCCTTTAGCCTACAAGGCTTATCAAACACTTTACCGCAACCTGGCCATGAGCATTTTACGTCTACTTCTTTGTAACTATGGCATCTTTGATGCGACGTTAAAGCATTACTACTATAATATCTTTTACCACATCCTTCATGTTTACAAATATATGGAGCATGACTTTGATCATGAGTCTTCATATGCAGTTCCAAAGCTCTTTTTGTTTGAAACTTCTCTTGACACTCTGGTACTTGGCATAGTATCCTATTTGGACGACTGTGTAACTTCGCATGACTCCATAAATTATAAATTGTAGTAAATCGACGATTACAACCTTCTACCTCACACACATAGTCTTTCCGTTTCAAATGTGTTTCTTTATGTCTTTTGAGTTTAAACTCTGAATAAAATGCCCAGGCACATCCTTCAAAATCACACTAAAAATAAAACCTCAGATAAATAAATATGTTATAGTCTTATCTGAAAAATTAGAAGAAAATATCAAAATATTTAAAATTTACATACCTTAAAAGGTCTTACACCATAGTGTGCTAATAAATGCCCTTTTAGAGCATACAGTTTGCTGAACTGTCTATTACAATCATCACGTGGACAAAGCCATATTTTCCCATGCTCATTAACAGATATTGGTTGTAAATTATCATCTGTAATACCTAATTCTTCTAAAGCATTAGATATTATCATTTCATGCTGATTACTAGGATTTTCTGTACCATGTTCCACTGTGTCATTCCATACAGCTGAAGTTTCTATTTTTGGTAATTTTGGAAAATTTCCTGTAGCTTCCAAGAGCTCAGAAGTTTTTCCTTGATAAATCTGTTCTTCTGTACCAGTATTTATAATAATTTGTGTCATATTTGAAATTTTATCCGTTGATATGGCTACAACAGCCATAACACCATCTTCAGTATCCACGATATCTTCTCCCGATATCTTAATTTCATTGTCTAATTTTTTGTCTGCTGTATCTGATATCCTTTTACGTTTCTTAATAATACGTGGTTCTAATTTTGCCTTACCTTTAGTTTTTAATTGTTCAATTATAGCAGTTTCAGAATCATCATCAACTAGTTTTGTATCTGACAACTCTTGTATGGTATTTTCTGAATTGAGATCCTGCACATAGAGATTCGTAGTATCATTGCATAAGCTATTGTCCTTTTGCAACTCAACTTCTTTATTCACGTTATCTATATTATGCAAATCATCTACAACAACTTGCGTAGACTTGCTCTGCAATTCGTGATTATCTGTGATCATGGCTTTTTTCATTAATGAAGTTTGTTCAGTCTCTGTACACATTCCTTCGACATCCCTATTAGGGACACTTAAAGTAGGTTGAGCACTTGTCGACGGCAAAATTTCACCGGCAACCATCATGTCATCCGGCGACAACGCCAATGGATCCAAATGATCCAACTGAAATTCTGGTAGTATAAAGCTATCCTTTTCATCAAGCAGCTTCTCATTTTGGAGCTCCTGAAGTAAAGGATCATAACCTAAATTAAGTTTCTTGTCAGACAGATCAATATCGATTGACAATCCGTCAGGGTCCTTTTCCAGAAAAGCGTGCTGGAGTTCCTCGCCCAGGTACCGGTCGACGCCCTCCTCGACTCCAGACTTGATCGCATCGAGATCCATACTCGACACGGATTCTGTGCGCGTTTTTAACCATTTCTCAATGTCGGCTACAGTCTCGACATCGGCAGTTTTACCGATTCCGTCAACGTTCGTCTCACCCGTAACACTATTGTTCGTCACTTGATTACTCTCAATCCACACTCTCTCGTGATACTGTACAGTTTCGTCGTTGCTCCTTGCTTTCTGTTTTCCTTTTTTATTTGTTTCTTCCCTTTTGTCTTCATCCGGCGAAACCGACAGCAAACTTAATTGGTTGTAACCTACCGATCCACCCACAATGCCGACCTCTCCGTGCGTCCAACCGCGAACCGAACACAAACCTCGTCGATTACGAAAGATTCGCGGGATTTGTTTTGACTTGCAAGCGGAGGGAGTTCCTTTACAAGACATTTGACTGCCCCGTAGCCAGCTCTGTAGGGGTCCACACACAGCAACAACGCCGCCATCGAAGGAAATCTTGTAGCTCATAGGCGGCCTACTGTATTGAAACTCGGGTGAAATTCACACAGATAGATGGCACTGCATGATTGCATAATTTCGCGCAATTTTTGAATACCAGTTTCATCATGTATTATAATGGCTCTTATTTATTCTAATCACATTAATTTTATTTAATATTATATAAAATCATGACTGTATACCAAAACATTGAATTATTTTTACAGCTATTTTTCTTTATTTCTTCGAAGGTAAATGAGTGAGATTACAAATTATTTTTTCCACATACAGAAGACACTTTTTACATATGATTTAATTACCATTTGAAGATTTAGTTTCTTATTAAACTAATACACTTTTCAAATTTGTATAATTATTTCGTCATGGCAAAATAAATTCAAGTTTAACGATCTAGAAGAAATCAGCACTCAATGAGTCGTGTCTTTTTGTTTAATAAGAATTTTCAATTGCTCTATTCTGGATCGTTTTTGTTCCATCTGATTGAAACTGCTTTTGTCTTCGCATAATTCGTTTTTATGTATTTGAGAATGTTTAAGAAGTTTTGAATTTGGTTTATGGATATATCGATGCTGAAGAAATTCACGAGAGTTTAATTTCGAATTCATTGGTGGAAGAACATCTTTGGATTGAACTCCTGATTTACAACTAAACGATTTTCTCCTTTTTTCCGGTGGTCTCAATTCTTCATATGGAATTCTATACGTCGCCTCTAATTGCGTATCTTTTTTAACTTCACACATTTCATGATCATCAACCATACGATTAAGCAGCATCTATAAATTGATAAATTTGACTATCAAATCACATGATAAATCTTCTTATCTTTAATATACATAAAACTGCATTCAGGAAGAAGTTACAATACTAACAAATTTTAAAATAAAACTAATTTTATCTTCATTCATAAAATCTATTTTTTTTTTATATTACTCTTACATTAAAATTCACAAATCTATTAAGTAGAACGAAACATGTTTTAATGCGACACTTATTTCGGTATAAATTCCGAGTTCATTAACAAAATTCTTCCAAAATCGCAATCAAAATCTACTATTAATCATATCAAAAATAATCGAAAACTATTACTAATCACACCTAAAATTGCTACTAAAAAATTATTCAAAAACTATAGCTTACCATATCACAATTACTGTTTAGTTTCCTGAAAAATACCGCTTTAGGGACTTTGTATCCTGGTGGAGGTTTCGGTTGCGGTTCCAAGCAAGGCGCCTTAGACATTTTTATCATTTCCGTATATAAAAGCACGTCTCCCTTAGTCTGCTGATATCGTGGATCATGACATAGTCTAGGATCATGTTCTCTCATTGTTTTTCTTGTCCTATGTGCCAATTTACAAGTACACGGATCGGGCGAAGATCTCCTAGGATCTGGGCCAAAGATCTTCGCCCACCAGGTCAACTTTTCCTCTACTTTTTCCATTTTCTTACAATTGCTTGGCTTTTCCTTCGCAACTGACTGTTTTCTAATGCTGAAGAATCTATATCTCCATCCCTTCCGGGGTTTTTCTGAATCGAGACACTTCGACGAACAACCCTTGCTGACGAGATCCATACAAGGCGGTAAGGGTTCCCCGCAGTTACCGACGCCATGTTCGATTGGTTGATCGTCCGACTTCCGGGACCAAAAACACCTGCTATTTCTTGTCAATATCGACTGTATTATCGAGGGACTCCTGAACACTATTGATTGATAGTGACCGTTTTCCTAAGGATAGTAAATCATTTATGAATTCAATTTTGTTGCATCGTATCGTTAAAAACGTAGCTTAAGCTATAGTTATAAAGTGTTGCTTTGATTTACGGTATAACCTATAAATCCACTCTTGTCTAACTCCATTATCATTCCTGTGTGTTAACTGAGTACAATACCTTTAGAGATGTTACACTGGGAATTTGGAATTTGGTCCGGAAGTACGCCATGGCGAAAACAGATTCTTTTTTTGTGGACGAAAATCGTCCCTCCGCCCGTATGTTTTACATCAGAAATTTAGACCTCCATAATGAAACTAAAACAATGAAATTCGGCATGTGTTAAAATTTCTTCAAATAAAATATAAAATCGATTTATCGATATTTCTTTCGACCGCTTGGAATTCGCGGGAAAATTTGAAATCCGCCTGAAAAGTTTATCGAAATAAAACTTTGGGAAAGAGCTTATTTAATTTTTAATAATAAAGAATTACGAGTTTTAAGAGAAAAATCAGTGAACATGAACGAATTCGAATGATTTACTCGGGTCCCCTCTAATACCGATTCGGTTTCCTTTGAACGCCGACCGTTTCCGGTCTCCTGTGCAAACCCCCGAGTAACCTCGTCGAACCGGCTCTGTTAATTTTGAGAGAACACCGGAATTACTGATACTGCCTCTGCAAACGAGATGAGAGCAATTCCGGAAACGTCGATATCGCGTGTATCCACGTGTGGATGCACCACGATGGAAAACGACTGACAGGAAGTGAGCACGCGGGGAAGGAAGAGAGACGGAGGAGAAACTGGAAACTCGGAGAAGACGCAACGAGAGATTTCGAAGCATTTGCGAGCTTCAGATTGATTCAGTTCAACAGAATCGTTGGTTTCATACAGTATGGCTCATAAGCGGCGCTCGAATATCTATTGTTATCTTCATCATCTCCTTAATAATTCTCCTTATTTTATAAAACTCCTACAAGTTTCAAACTATTTTGATTCCTCGGTCGAAACTGAAAAAGAAAATTAATTGAAAATATTTATCTATAATTGCAGTATTACTTTGCAATGGAAACTATTCGCGATATAAGGAACAATTTAACTACTATCCCCGCATGCTCATCCGAATCAAGTTCATATTCCTAAACGCTCTATTAATCCACAATTGACACCCAAAACAACGCTAAAAACACTCAGCCAACCCTCGCTTTGATTTCGTCGAAAACCGCTCTGCCACCTCACTAATTCCTCGCCCTAACATCAACCCACACCTGAACGGCGCTGTAGACGGCGGTGCACGCAGCCACGACATCCCCTCCGCGCGAGGAACGTATCCCCAACCGGCGATTTTCCGGCGGCGAGTCGCGGTGAGGAAGGGTGTTTACTCAAGACACGACAATTCATTACGTAATTGAATTGAATGAGGCCTCTCTCCTCCTGGCCTGTTTCCCCACCGCGTGTCCCTCCTGTTCCTCACCCTCTGGCCAAGGGTAGCACAGCACGTGTAGAAACGACGGTGGTTGCGCGTGTGCGGGTCTATTTGGCCAGGCAGAGAAGGCTGGATGGGGAGATCCATCCATCCCATGGCCACCACACCCAACGAGCATCCACACGAGGTGGAAAGGAGAGGCAACGAGGAAGAAAGGGACAGAGATGGAACTCGGCCCGTGTCTGCCTCGAAAACGCACGCTCGACGGGGGTAGCTACCGAATTAAACGATTAGTTAAACTGATTTCGAGTTAGGCGAATGAATAAGTAATCGGATTTCTCGTTAAGGTAATCGCATTGCGCCCTGATTGGCTCCGTCTGCCTGCGTTATAGACCGTTCCCCTCTCCAACGTTTCGATATAGCTCGGCTCTCCCTTCCCTCTGTACCGTTTGGTTATCTTTGTTCCACGAGTGTTAATTCTCCCCTCGTTTCCTTTCCTGTCTCTCTTGCCTCGTTCGTGGTTCTCTTTCACCCTCTCGTACGCAAGCGTCATTCAATGTCGCTACGCGTCTCCTTCCTGTCTACCTCCATTTCCATCGCGCGACTCGCGGCTTCTTTTTCCGCTTTCGAATCCATTCACCTGGATGCTAGCTTTCTGGTTTGGTGTGAGGTCGATGATACGTGTTTCTGGATTGGTTGTCGAACCGGTAGGTATCCGTTTCTTTGGATGTGAAGGTTGATTCGATGATAATTGATCTATGAAGGTTCTCAAGATTCCACTTGGGTATGATTGAATATACTTTCGTCTGTGGTCTCATTGGCAGTGATTGTTGAACTTGGTTTAGAAAATGGTCTCGATACCAGCAAACAATCTGGAATTCATTTTAACATGGATCAACAATAACATTCTTCGCTGTACCCTTAGTTCGTAATTTCATTTCTGAGATTTAGTTTAGTCTTAATATAAACAAGAATCCAGGGTTGATCCAAATTAAATTAACATCTTACCTTAATTCTGCTTTTCTGATACACTGTTCTTTACTATTGCACCGTTGCTACAATCATCTTCCATCTTCTCAGTTCTTACCTACAACTTAGACTCAATTCAAACAAGTACTTTATCGTTGACGAATAATCTAAAAGTAACTCAGATTCAACTCACTTTCTCAAAAATTTCCCTCTGACGTCCATTTGTACCTGACACCCTTCTTGCCATCGTTATCTTCCCTTCTTTTACGTTCCTCTCGTTGCATCCAAGTTAGGTTCGCGTTCCCCTTCGTTTTCTCGTCTGTCAGCCGGTTCCTCTCTGTCCATATCCGTCCCAACGTTTCACGGGCCGTGTTTGCCTGAGCAATTACATTCCCGAACGCAATCCCATTTAAATATTGCCGAGTTTGGTAGCGGCAAACACGAGACACGCCGCGTTCTGGCCTCGCAATCCGCTCAGAACGCGGCTAGCCTGCCAAAAGGGCTGTTACACGTCCATTTCAATGTAAAACGTTGCCGCGCAAATATTTTCGACCGCTGTCGAAAGTACCAGCCACCCTCTTTTCAGTCGTAGGTTTAAAACCGTTGCTTGAATTTCAATTTTGTCCCAAGGACCTTTTGTTGCGGATGATAGAGACGACTCTGCGGTCCAAAATAAATCTTCCGTGTCAGAAGAAGCTTTATCAGACCAGCAAAGCTTATAACACAATGGGGTAACGCGAATCGTTATCAATTACAATTAACGCCTCGAGTGCCATGGTTCATTACTAAAAGTCCATTCCACGGTGTCACAATTTTTTAAAGCACTACGGGCATGTAACTACTACAATAGCAAATCGAAGCTCGAATTCATTGTTGGATAGAACGTGATACATACAGACACAAATTGAAAGTCGATTGACACGACGAATCAATTTCAGATTTAACACTGTACAAGCCGAGACGTATGACATAAATATGGAGATAAATGAGAAATTTGATAATCCGTACATATACATCGTACTCGCTATAAATTGACTTTATAATTGTTCGTCCTTACAATTCCCCAAAATATACACTTGTAACTAAATTGACATCATTAACACTAACATAATCCAATCCACACATCCAATCATAAATTACAATTATCTATATTTATAACAGATTAATATTCAATCCTAGAATTAAACGAAACTGAAATTCTCACCCCTTAAACTACCCTTCTCCCAGTTCTTCTCGGAGAACGAGGAAAAAACGTCACTTTGCAAGACCAGCCCACCCTCTGTCACCTGCCGGCGGATCTGCCAAGCCAACGAGCAAGTGCAAATCATTCTCAACCGATCATCATCCCCCAGTAGCATATCGCGGCATAAACATCGTCGACAGGAGTCGTGAACGCGCATCGTTCTCACCTAAAGCTACCCATCCACCGGGACGTGGAACGCGTCCTCTGGGGAGGAACATTCGACGTCACGGAGGGTGGGTGGCTTGCAATGGGGATTCGTAAACGCGGTGGTCGTCGGGATGTACAGTGGCAAGCGTAGAGAAACAGCGGACAGAGGGGTTGGAGGGGTGCGGAATGGCCAAGCACTGGCCAACGTAGGCAGTTCGGCCATCGGTAGGTGGTAGTTTGCGCTTCGCGGGTGGAAAATCGGGCGCAAATGCTAATGAGTCTCGGTTTACGGCCAGTAGCCGACGTAGAGGGGGCGAACGAGTCAAGGGTGCGAGGATAGGGGCTGTCGGGGGTTGACGACGGTCGACAGGGATGCAGAGAGGAATAGGGTGATGCGTGGGCGTCGAGGATCCGCCTACGAGTCGCTGGATTGGCCGGCGTCCGAATGGCGTCCTGGGGGACGCGTGGCGTAGCGACGCTGAGCGTCAGCTACCTCCTGGAGCCACCTTCGGCACCCCCTACGGTGCTCTCGTCCTCGGCGACGAGGTCGACGCGAGAGCCGCGTCGTCGCGCGAGTCTTCTCCGCGAGGATGGAGCAGCTCGCCCAGTTCGTCTCCAAGAGCTTTGACAACGCGGCCGGCGAACACGCGGCATGCAGGTCCACCACTGATCGACCCCCGTCCGCGAGGATCACCCTTAGTGTAGCTCACTTGCTCGGCGATCCTGCGGAGAACGATGCTAGTACGTTTGTTCAGTATTTTCAAGTTCCTCGATGGCTTTGGAGCACCGTCTGTTGGGTTTTAGTGCATCTTTCTTGGTGGTGGATCGGTTTGGGACTTGATCGAAACGGTCTGTCACGTGGACCACTTGTGGTCGAGTTCTGTGTGGGTCAATAGGTGTGATGGTTGTGGGTTAGGTGGATGAGGACAGGTGGAAGTGTAAATTGACAGGTGGTGCGACTGATCTTGGATATGGTTGTTCGTGGTGTTGGAAGAAACGTAGATGATTTGTGAAATTTTGTTGAGGTTAGAGAAGTTGGTTCCGATGAAAGGATTTGGTTGTGGAGAACTTGGTACACGTTGGTATTTGCTTCCTGAATAATCTGTGTCGTATTGAGGATAAGTATGCGAATGTCCTGCAGCCAGTGTAAGTATGACAATGTTCATATTTCGTGCTGCTTTTGATAGCAGAATCTCTTCATAGATTTACTGCTGGAAGAACTTTAAATAGCAGTCTCCCGAACATGGCAAACAACGTAAATAAAATATTCCGTACAGTCACGGAATGTCTCAAAGAGTCTTTTTCCTATTCAGTGAATTGGTAATCAGTTGATCCTCATGCACGATTTGCCTTCCACTATTCGTTTCCACGAATATCGCGAACGTGCGTCTTCATTCTCCAAGATGATATCAAACAAACTCTCCTCGTCGTGATTTTCTACTCCTCGATGCGAAAACATAGTTCCAGAAATGGGATTTGTGCATTTAAGCTAACATCGAAACCTATATCTGCAAATTCCAGGAATCCTTTCGACTTCGTTGAACAATCTCGTCTATCTGTTAGCAATTACCTCATTCTATTTAATCTAATCTTCAAATTATCTTATCTCATCGAATTTAAACATGCGAGTGTCTGTTTCCTGTATCCTGTTCGCCTTTTCCTCTGAGAACTTTAAAATCTTCTACAAATTTTGAACTATGGTCGCTCGGAGAATTGTTGTTAGATTTTCGAAAATTTCCTTGGTATTTCTATCGCTGATTAATGATATTTATCCGAGAAAGAACGCAACGTGGTTACGGGATACTGATTCCTAGCAATGGTTCTCCAGATGTCGGCGCGGCGATACGCGAATCCACTCAGGATCCGTCGAGCGTCGATGCGAGCAGCGTGGACGAGCCGCCGTCGCCGGAAGGCCGCTTGCAACCGGAAGATCTCTCCGTCACGACCAAGAGTAAAGAGGCGAAAGACGTGGTTAACACCGCGGACAGTCTTCCACCTTTGAAGACACCGGAATTGAAGCTCTCCGTGAGGAAACTGTTGGGATGCAGTCCGTCGCCGCCACCGATTTCGAGAGATCAATCTGCCAGTCCGGAGAACTGCGTCGAGTCGAAGAATCAGGTTTCCAACGATGCGAAAGCGACGGATCTGAAGCTCCAATCTCAGGTTTCCAGGTCTTTGATGCAGGGACAGGAAGAAGGTACCAAAGGTAAGAGGGCTGTTGATTGAAAGTAATAGATATTAAATAGTTCCCCTTGAAAACCCATTAAAAGCTACCATAAACGTTACTACACGCTAAATCTTTTGTTCATAGTATATAGATCATGGGATGTGTTTAATTATAGCGTTGTCGCTACTCACAGTGACAATAAATATCTACAAAATTAATGTTGTCAGTGGTTTCGTGTTTCAATAAGATTTCACGTGGCGTGTCTGTTTGATGGTACCTTTTAAAGATTAAATAAATTTTGATATTCGCGGGTGGTTTATGTTATTAGGAGTTATTAAAGACTGTCGATGATAAATTTGAAGTTATCCAGCTTCAGAGTGGAACAGGAAAATTAATGTTAAAGAGATCTTGGGATTTCTTCTATGGAGGAAGGTCTATCGTGATACTTCACTGCCATTGATTCCAATCGACTATCTTTGAATTCCGATTAATTTAACTGAAATGATAAATAAATGATAAATAAATGATGATTTTCTACGTTGTTAGAAGCAGAATAGTACCTTGATATCGTGGTTGTTAATCACTCCTGGAAAATATTATATCTTTGAAGAACGGTTCGTGTTTTGAAGAGTTCCAAAGGAGGTAACTCGTTCTTGTTTCGATAGTAAAAAGGTCAGGAACCTCTGGTGAATTCCGTGGCCCGACACGTATCGTCGGAGGGTTCGATCTTCGTTTATAATTCAGCACGTCGTCCAATAAAGCTCAGAAGTGATTGGGAATAGCTGACCGTTCACAACGTAACGATCACCGACCTCCAATTTTGCCCACATGCCAAGTCGACTTCAATAACAGCCATTCAACGTCCACCACTTGCACTTTCCTTCTGCTCTACCCCCTTCCTCGTCTTCTTGTTTCATCGCAACCTTTCATTTAAATCAATTCTATTCTCGAGGGATGAGGAGCTAAAAAGTTTCCTTGATATTCGAATCTTTAACCCTCGTTCAATTCAAGAATAGCAGAAGAATTTCAATATCTTTTAACATATGTAATTCCTCCTGTTAAATATATGCGAGTCAATGATAAGTCAAAGTATTTCATTCTACTTTTAAAATTTTTCTAAGCTTTGATTCGATATTTGAATTAAATTTCTACTTTTTGTTGTTTGGAGTGGATCGATTTGACGAATGGCGATTCATATTATAAATATTGTTGGGTAATGTTTCATTTGAAACATGTAAATTTGGAACATACTTGTGTATGATTTTGTTAAGAGTTGAAAGTGAGTCAATAATAGATCCACTTCAATTGTCTTCTCAAGGGTTGTTGCTGCACTAGAACTACTGACCTATGTAAAATTATGTATCTACTTCAATACAAATCAACATTAATTTTATCAAAAGTAGCTACACGTTTTCAATAACTGCAAAAGCAGCTTGATAGTTCTAGTGTGACCACAAAATGTATAAGTTTGTTTCCATATAAAATTTTGAGATCTTCATTGATCACAAATTCAACAAAATTTCTCCAAACTTCTCTTAAGTAACATTAACCTATAAAATCAAAGTATAATAATTCTCTCCCAACCTCTGCGACAAAATTCCAATGAAACGATCCTAAGATCTTCTCATCATCCTCTAAATCCCCATTTTCCCCTTCATTCGTCTGGTCTACCAGGAAAATCCCAAAAAATCCCGTCAAAAGACCAGGAAACACCCCCACCTATAGTGAAAACTTTCGAAGCTCGTAATTTACAAAACGTCAAACGATCGGTGACAGTGGTTACAGCGGGGAAACAGTCGGCGAAGTATAGTCGGGTGGGTAAAAAATGCAATCGACAGGCCGGACGTTACATACGCGTGACTAAATTGGATCCAAAGCGGACGGCACGGTCGGCCAGGGGGATGAAAATCGCGTTTAAAAACTGACGCGTTCAAGTAACGCCAGCGTTGGTTCCTCGGCACGATAACTCGGCGTCTATTGCGGCTGGAGCTCGCATGAATTTATGGTTTAATATGCGGCCCGCCGCGTTAGTTGTGTACGCCCTCTAACACGCGCCTCACGCTTGCAGAGGGTGGAGAAAAGGGGAGAGGAAGAGACCGGTATCTCTCTCTTTCCAGCTCTTTCCGCTCCTCTTTTCCGCTTGTATCTCTCGGGGGCCCATAACTTTTCCCGATTAAGCGCAAATCAAAAAGCAATCTGCCCGGCCGGCAGCCATCGGACGCGCCCAAGTAAAACCATAAATAACCGCGAGTTGAAGAAGCGGCGAGGAGTTGGTGGAAACTCGTTGGTCTCTTTGGTTCCTAGAAAAAGGCGGTGGAAAGGGTCCAACGATGTTTTCTTCTACGTTTCGCAGTGGGTTTCGTTGGACTGGTTGGAAAGTGTTGTCAGTTAATGCCTCTACCATAGTACCCTCTGATGCTTTTGGTGCTTGCACGTATATAGTAGAATTATCTACAGGAAAGTATGTAGGTATCAACGTTTAAGTACATAGTACTTCATGTAATTAATACTAGACTTATCGAGTTATAATATGTACTTGTATAAAGGAAATATAGATAGGAAGGTAGATAATAATAATTAAAATGATATGACATTATATAGATATTATTTACCTATCTTATTGTGTGTTTGCCAGGATAAAAGTCTAAAATTTACAAAACTCATCAAGGGAACATTCTGCAAAGAAAAATCTTAGCTTCAATCACTAATTACCAGACTATTGCTCAGTCTTATATCTCAAAACGATGCACTATTAATACCTCTCCGATAGTTTTCTAATTCCATGATTCGATTCTCGTTCCGTACCCAATTCCACCAGGCGCGATTTCACGTGGCATGCAACGTCCATAGCAGACAGGATAATGGAGACGATATTTCACGACTTACGGCGAGAACCGACGGGCGACACGACATAACAAATATCGCCGAAAGAAAGTGGCCGATGTCGCAGTAGATCACCACGTTCCTGGGCCAGCCACTTTGCCTCGCTTGGCGTCGATCTCACCCGCGACCTCGCGCACGCGTTCCCTCTGCAAATGGCCATCGAGGTACTGGCTGCGTTTGACCCCTGGTCAAAGGCCGTGCTACGATGTTTACGACCCCCAGTCCTGTAAGTTTTTGAGGTATGGCGATGGCTGTTAGGTCGTTGCTAGAATTTCTCTGGATATTTACAGTACAACCCTCGACTAGACCCCGGTGAATCTTCTTTGAACAGGTTTTAGATGATCGTTGAATACAAATGATGCTTCAATCGATGATTCATACAATGTAGAATTATTGCTCGATTTCGTTGTGCATTTGAGATAAAGGAACTTGGATAATGCCTTAAATTCTTTGAAACTCAATTGGAATCCAATTAGCTTTCCATGGACTCTTGAGACGAGTTTAGATTGGAGTGGAAACAATGTAATGGAGCTTGATAAGATTGACGCTGTAGGAATATTGATAATGATTATATTTAATCATCGTAATTGTTAGCATTATAATCAGTCCAAGCATACCTTTCTCACAACCTTTAACTACATAGACCAATTATTTTTCTTAAATATCAAATTCTATTCTGACATGCTAATTGAAAATAGCTAGTCCAGACCAAGCAGTATCCAAAAAATTAAGAAAGTACAAATTCTTTATCTTTCCTATCTTCTTGCCAAGTTATTCGCGAAAACTTTCACGGCTGAGTGCCATATGCAGTTACAACGTGCACGCGACAAACTGGCAAGAGGGTTAAGCAGGGTTGTCCCGACGCTTTTATTCGCCTAATGGTTGCGATATCTCGACTCGTTTCGCGAGGGGGAAAAAAGCACATAGCCACGATCGGCTAGCTGGTGGACGAAGGGGGCGAGGGTGGTTTGACTGGATCAGGCCAAGAGGGCAGCGCTCTTAGTAATCGAATTAGCGGCCCCTCGTGTCCGAGTGTGATTGCTTCGGGTTTTCCAGGAGGGTTTCACTGCCGCCCACCCTCTCTTTCTCTCTCTTTTGCTGCTCTCGTTTTGTCTCTCCCACGTTGTCTTTCTGATTTCAACGATACGATACCGCTGTTCCAGCAACCAGTTCGCACCTACGATTCACTTGTTACTGTTCCCGGTCCCAGATTGCTTATACACTGAGGATTTCCAGCACTTGAACACCTACAAAAGGTATGGAACACAGAGTTAGATAGTATCATAGAATCCCAGGTGTATATTCAATATATTTGGTAACTGAGGGTGATACTATTTTGCTTTTCAGATGTAAATCTTAGATGAGCCAAAATTCGATATCAGCCAACAATTTAATGAAGCACTCACCCCATTCACATCCTTAAACAAACTCCACCTGTATATCTCAAAGTTTCTACTCTATCATAAGGCACTTGAAGCTCTAACACTCTCTAAGAGAATATCAATTCTCTATCTGTTGGAAGTCCGTTGAAAAACAAATCGCCCATCAAATCGTTGGCCATACGACCAATAAACCACTCGCAGCATCGAATCGCGGACTCGATATCGTTAAAACGATCAACAACGGGAGACAGCTAAAAATCCAGACAGAGCGGCTAGAGGGGTGACGAAAACCCGGAGTAGGGGTAGTTTGATGATGAAGGGGCGGATGACTGGGACGAGAACGGGTCCGGAAACCGCGCGAGTTATTTTGCTAGGAGGGGTTTTAAACCGCTGTACATATGGATGCGGGCTTCGCTCTGCCAGGCCTCCGATTGGATTACGTAGGTATGCGCTAATTGATTAAAGCGCGATACTGTGTCGTCATCGAGACTGTCCTCGTAGAATCTCCATGTTTTAATCGAGATTCGGTACCATCTTCGTTTCTCTTTCTTAATATCGTCACTTTTTCACCAGCAATCGGACGTCTTTCGAGTCTCCACCGTCTCGCTGTTCCTCTTCGTTTTTCTTTATTTTTAACTTCCATAGCTACGTTTCGCTTCCACGTTCGTAATTTGCTAGGTGAAACGAATGGCGAGTTTGCAAATATTATCTCTGCCTGTTTTCAGTTAACTGCCGCAGCTAATGAGAGGGCGACGCGTTGTTTTGCTTTGTCATCGAGAGAGAAATCGATGGTAATTGACTTTGAGCAATGATACTAGCCTATTGTTAATGAATGTTATCGATAACAGTTACATTTATTGTCATGAGAAACCAGTCCGAATTTAACCAGTCTCGTCTCTCGCCACCCCAATGATGTCCACCGTTCGTAAAGACCTTAAATCAACCGTCCTAATCCACTTCCAAATAATCAAACCAAACCGGTGAACTATCGAAATCTCCGCCAAACAGCCCCTCCGTTTCTCAAACATCGTTAATGATCAGTACAAACGCCCAATTCACATAAGATCCATCTTTACGGAGGTGAAAATGTTCGCGGACAGATGCAGAAAGCCGAGTGGGGGTGATTAAGGTGGCGGCCGGCGGAAGAGGGAGAAGCTAAACAGCTGGATAGAGGGGTGGAAGGGTAACTAACGATCCCGTACAAGGCTGCGTAGCTCACCACTTTGCTAAATTATATAAATCACGTCCCCTTCGTCAAGGGATCTTACGCGAGACGCTTAATCCACCCCTCTGCCTCCGCCACCTCTGTTCACCGGAAGCTACGGTGCCTCCTTCCAAGGATCTCCCTTGGAAGGCAACACCTTCGCGAGAGTTCTACCGGTAGTTACTTTGCATTAAGCAGCCATTAATTAGATCGTACGCCCGTTAATTATCTACCCGAGCCGTCTCTTTAACTCGCGGCGATGCTTGTGGCTCCTCTCGATGCTGGGCCTCCACGAGCAGTTTTTAAGATCCTCTCTAGGATGACCGGAGAAATTAGCGAGAGTTGACAGGGGGAGGATAATTAGTCCACTTTCGGTAGACCTTTCTGTCGAGATGATTGGGTTAGTTAACGTGTTGACGTGGAGGAAGTGATTATTCTTTGATGGAGTCCTTGTGGAGTACCTCTTCTTCACGATTTGAGGTTCCCGGTGAAACAACTTGATAGTTTGAAGTGCTTCTTTGGGCTTCGTATAGCTTCCTAAAATCGAAGTACATTTCTGTTTATCGTGTTGTGCAAGTTTGAATTCTTCTAGCTATGAGTAAGCTGTCTTTTAAGTTCGACCGTGTGCAAAATTATAATTTCATTGGGAAGGATAGAACGCGAAATTTAAAGTCAAATACAGTAAAGTATATATTGCACAAAGATTTTTGTAGGATTCTAAAATTTGAGCAATTTAATTCGACTTATGTTAATCTGTTCACCGGCTAGAAGGAAGACTCGAGTTTTTCAATGTTTTCGAAGAAGTGAAGAATTCGTATTATAAGAACGAGAGTTACAGATCGTATTCTAGAAGACGCCTCTGATGTCGACTAATCGGAACTTCTTTTCGTCGCGTAATTTGAATAAGATCCTCGTAAAAGGATGGAATTTATGTTGATGTCGGTCAGACCGGAAGAAATGACCTGTGAACGATTCGAGGAGATTAATTTGGAATTTCCCCGTGACCGCTCTCGTACTCGTGAATTAATCCTCGTAAAACGTCTGACTCATCCGAATCTCGTAACTCGAGGATCAATTTTTACATCTACATAAAAGAAACTGGAATAAAATTAGAGGAAAAAAAAGAGAAAAAGTACATAGAAAGAAATTAAATTTCCAGTGCATTAATCAATCGTGTTTCTCGAATTTAATAACTGAGAAAATACCTTCTGGAACTTTTTCAGGATCGAATTGCCGTAATAACGGAAACGGAAATGGAAAGCAGAGAAGATCTCGAACGAACTTCACTTTGGAACAATTGGCTGAATTGGAAAGGTTGTTCGACGAGACTCATTATCCAGATGCGTTCATGAGAGAAGAACTCAGTCAGAGACTTGGTTTAAGCGAGGCGAGAGTTCAAGTTTGGTTCCAGAATCGACGTGCCAAGTGTCGCAAACATGAGAGTCAATTGCACAAAGGTAAGTTTCAAAGAAACAAAAAACTATCCTAGCATCTATCTTCAACAGTTCTCCAAATATTCCTTTCTTCTCGCTATTCTTCCTACAAACACAGATAAAATTTAATTATTAGCCCCTTTTTTTAGTTATTAAACTATAATAATTAGAGGAACGAACTACTAAATAACAAAATTCAAAAATACAATTAAAAGATGAGATGTAAGAGTTAACCTATCCAAATTTACAGGTGTAGCAGGTGGAATGGTACTGGCGCCTCGCAGTCCACCAGCGACCTTGGAACCCTGTCGAGTGGCGCCGTACCTGCCAGCCTTGAGGCTGCACCCCCCGATGCAGGGTGCCAGTGGCAATATGACCACCGCGGCAGGTTCTGCCTTCGACCCGACAGTCCTCCATTACGCGGCAGCCGGCGGTCTCTTCTGCCTTCCACCTCCACCGCCTCCACCGCCAACATCCAGTCATCCGCACCCGCATCCCCTGAGCCTGGCGGCTTCCTTGGCCGCAGCCGCGGCACGTTCCAAGAACAGCAGCATCGCTGATCTTAGGTTGAAGGCCAGACGACATCAGGAAGCATTGGGACTGGACAGGCCCGCGTAAAACGAAAAATTCCGACTTCGGAGTCCTCTAAGACCGTTCGTATGCTGTTTCCTTGCACGGTGGTGAGTATGGTATCGTTCTGGAAGTTTCTACGCTTGATGTGTCGAGTCTAAGGGTCTATTTCGTTGAAAGAATGTGTCGTTTGGAAGATTCTTTCCTTCTATTCATTTATATTCAGTAGAGGGATGGTTCGAGGATCTAAGATTTTGAGTGGATGTTCCTTGTGATAGAAATCGTTTCAGAGAGAATTAAGTGAAGTTCGCTGGAACATAACTGACTCACCACCGTCGTGGAACAGTATCGGTAATTAATCCGTGAGGAGTATAGCAATTTAGCTTCTTGGTTGCCGAGTGTCCTCATCCAAACATTTTGACTTTTCATTGTTTATTTCATTGTTCATTGTTCTATAGTTTATCGTGTGCGTTATTCCTTTTATTACACGTCCTAGAGACGATCCAGTGGAGCTCCCTATATGTAGAATCATGATGTTAAGGACACTCGTCAGCGAGACAGCTGTATCAGTTCGTGTCCGAGAAGTACAAACGGAGACTCGATGTGTATAAAGTGAATGATTCGGCGAGAAGTGTGTATTATACGTATAACATAAAGTATTATACATAAATATAAATAGACGAGGATAGTAGCTGGGCTTGGAAACGAAAACGATGAATTCGCACAAGGATCGTTCCATCCGTCGGAACAACGAAAATTCCTCGTTCAGAGACGACGGAATTCTCTGTATTTCGATTTTCATTTTTTTCCACTTCGTCGGAATAATTGATGAAGTGAATGTGAACGAAATTTCGAGAATTCACGGACGAGATCAAGCAATCGATGTGGAAAATTTGACAAAGATTTCGGTAGGTGTCCAGTGTCTCAGTGTCAGAGGTAATTAACACGAATTCGGCGAAGGCGTGTTGAGGTTGTTCTTGGATACATGATTGTCACTCTGTATACTATTAGCTTTAAAATATATAAACTTTGAATCTTCAAACGAGTCGTGAATCATTTATTGTTCTCACTACCCTAATGAACATTCTGAATTAATCACAGGGATATTGTAAGAAAAATAAATATTTTCTTCGAATCGTTAGAAGTCTTTACAATGTGTCCTAGAAATTAATTGAAGGTACGGTTAATCGAATATTGAAGGTAAACTAGTCTTACTTTTGAAATTTCATGTAGTTCTCCATTATAATTTTAAATATAGACACTAATTGATATAGACACATCATTTTGTTTCATTATAAATTACTGATAACAAATATAATAATACAATAATAACAACGAAACAAATTTAAAACATGTACATATAAGAACATGAAAATCCTAAGTTACCGATCGATACAAAGCGACAAATGTTTCATTGCTTGATTAATCAACTTCTTACAACTATCCATCGATTATTCGACACGACTTCCAATCGATTAATTAATTGAGATTCATCCTGATATCCAAATCGCATCCTTTACTTACTCCATCACTTAGAATCCATCAAATAATCTTGCAAACTGTTTAAACAAATAACATAAGAATGTTGAACTGAAGAGAAAATCGTCTTTGGCAAAAAAAATAATAATTACTTGGACACGCTCCTAATCTTTCGACTCTCTTAAAAGCTTGGTCTCTTAACTAAATTGACTATAATTTTCTATTTCTCTTACGCAACGACCTTTCACTACAGCCTTAGGGCATTCACAATAATCTCAATCACTTGGTCCAAATGTTCTTCTTTCGCACCCTTGATACCGCAGCCTCTATGAATATCATAATCTTAACTAGTTAATTCAAACGCTCTTCTTTCACACCCCTAATACTTCAGCTTAAGTATCTACTCTTCATTCACGCATCAATCCCTGTAATTCAAACATTTTTAAGTCGTTTAACAAAAATTCTATCCTTATATTCCCGCAATAATTCCAAAAAAAACATGCTCCAAATAAAAAAAAAAGAAGTACCTCCAATTCCTTCTGCCTTTCTCTACTCTTTGTCAGATTTATAATGGAAAGAAAAAATCAATCGATCGATTTAAGCAGAAAGCTATAGCCCACGTCGCGAATTCTCCGGTTCCTCTGTGCTGGTAACGAGCGAGTGCACACTCGAGTCGGCCAGGGACAAATCGCACGTCCTGAGACCGTGGTCTAAGATATAATTCTTAGGGATGATTCACGGCTGGCTGGACAGAAGGACTTCTGGTGGCCGCGACGCCGAAGCGCCCCCGGGACGCTGGCCAGTAGCATCGTTGTCGGGGCGCTAATGCAATAACGCGTCGGTACGCGGATAAATCAAGCCGGCCGAATCGTTCCACCCAGTGCTGTGCCATCTAATCGCGTTACCCCGCTCGTCCCACGGGCGCCATTACCATCTACCTCGTGCCTGTGTGTTGGAATAACATTTCTTTAAGGTTTCTCGTCTTCTTCAAATTCTTTGAACCTTTTTTGTCATTCAATCAGATTTTTATTTGCATTTTATTAATTGTACTTTATCTGGATTGCTGCTCCTGACAAAATTAATGTTTATTTTTATACAGATGGAAATATAATTATACATACCTACCTGGCTTCAGCATATCACTTCAATATATTTAATTCTACATTATAGGTTGGTAGTCCCAGTATCAAGATATGGAAATATGAAAAATATGTAAACAACGTTAGGTTAGAGTATAAGAAACACTCACGTTGTACCTTATATCGAAATATTTCCCGCGTTATTCTATACATTTACGAAACGATGAATAATTTTTATTACCTTGAATTTAGACGAATAATGAAATAAAAGTTTCGAATTTTGTCTTTAGAATTTCTTCGTTTCAGTTCGTATGCATCGATCTAATACGATACAGTACGGGATACGCTATATTCCGTTTGACGTCTTATTCAGCTTTCCATCTCTTTTTCTTACACTACACCGTGAACGATTTGGTTAGGAATTTTTTGCGGGGTCGAAGCCGTGTTGTTTCGCGATTCGTTTTGTGTTAGCGTATTTTAATTGTGGAACTTTGCAGCGTGCATGTTTTGCAGGTAAATCAAGCGGGCGAATCAGTTCGAAACGCGGCGTCGCGTAATCGCGTTAGCTGGGATTCATTCTGGACGCTCCCGAGGGCGTCGTTATTGTCCTATCCGTGCGCGTTCAGTCGTGCCGTTACGAAACGGTATGCTCGCTCGATAGAAGTATCTGATTAAAAAACAAAACGACTCGGAATTGCGCGACAACTCGGTTTTGAAACCATAAATACACAGAGTACAGAAGAAAGGCTTGAGTCACGGTTGGATTTAACGAATCTCTTTCTTCCTCGGAAAATGGAATCAAGACGAAACTGTTTATAAAGTGTAGTGTGAAAACTAACATACATTGTACAAAAAGAACTAGCGGAGATCGATCGCAGCGACACTCACAGGTGAATCGGTCTAATCACATAGAGATTTGTTTCCAACAGTCGATGATCGATTTTGACTGACGAATTGTCGTCCAGTGTGTATTCCCACAAGACGTCGGCCCCCTAGGTACCTTCACCGTGAATAAAATAAAGCAAAATTCCCGAGTATCGAGATAAATTTCAAGAATGTATTGGAAAAGGGAAGAAGATAGAAAGAGTGGGAGAAGAAAAAGCGTTTCGTCGCTTATTTTAATCCGAGTTTAAAGAAGTTTCTCTTTTCTGTTGCTCGTAAATTGGCTGTCGTTTGTCTGCCGCTAAGGGCTACTGCTTCAAGGGAGTGAAGATCTCCCCTGACAGCGGGAAAACGCCGCTCGTCTCTTGGTCCCCCGAGGAAACAACGAGATTCTACTATTTACGCGGTATACATTTGTATAGAAATGTCCTTTTTGATGTTTCAATATGATCTTGACTGATCGCATCGTTAAGACTATTGATATACCATTCTATGGTACTGGGATTGTGTAGTGTACTACTACCACTACGATTGCTCAAAAGTGTCTATATGGTATCGTATGATTACTTTTAGTATACTTATTCCAATTAATGTAATGCCACTTTTAAGCTGTATTCTGATAGTTATAACATGATAATTAGGTTAGTTCCTTGTAATTCAAAATGACACATTTAGTATGACGATATATTCGATTCTAATCACGATTTGTTGAACAGAATGATGAAAGGATGATCGAGACGTAACATTCAGTCGGTGGACCAGTAACTGCAATATAATGTCCTGCGAAAACCAGCGACGATCATCAATTACTAGCTGCCCTTCGAAAAGTCGACAAGTCGAGAGCGTAGAATAATCACGCGGGGAATGAAAATGGATCGTCGCGGTTTCGAGGCCCCTTATGGTTGATCACAATTTATGCCGTGTAATACCGTTACTCTGGAATCATGGTCTATCTCCTATCCGATTCGATATTTATGCGTTTATCAAAATCACGTATCAATCTGTGACTGAACATCATTCATCCAAAATGTTAATCATCATTTTTCCGTGTTACCAGGAGTCTAATTTCTTATGATAAAATCGGGACCAGCCCGTCGAATATGTCCACGAGGATTAATGAATTAACGACGTAAACGAATCATCGAACCAGACCAATAATTCGCGATTAAATATTGCAGTCCCACGATCGATACATCGAGTCCGGTAACACCGACACCGAAAATAATTATCCGCGACGACGACGACCTCCCTGGAGCCGGTTAAATCGGCTGTTTACCCGATTTCGACGTGCACACGGTTGCAGGATAATCAATCGGTTAACCGACAAGCCATGAACGCGTAATGAGCAACAATTCGGTTAGTCGGGCTCGAATAAATTATTCAAATTACACACCGTCGATTAACTCGATCGCGTGATTCTATATCGACGGAGCACGGGAAAGAACGCATCCAAACCAGCCCGGACAAATAAATCAGGAACGATGAATGGTAAAACGATTATCCTTTGCCTTATTCGCGGTAATCCGATCGATTTATGTTATTAACTCTGATCGTTGAATCTCTTCCTCTGTCTTCTATCGCGAAAAACACGAAATCGAATCATGTGCCAGAAAGAAATAGTTTCTTCTTGCTAACAATGTCGATTCAATTATCTAAGCAATACTTTTGACGCAAATGTTGCGTAATTTTTGTTTCATTGCAAACATGATTAATTGAAATAAAGATGAAACACTTTTTCTTTCTCACATAATCTCTTATAAGAAAATATTTTTGAAGAAATATCGAGATTTTTATTTCCGCGTTAGATTTACCGAAGAAACATGCAAGAAAGAAAAGGTGATGCCATTCCACGATTGATAAATAGGAACACCGCTAGATATCGCTATATTCCGGAAGGCGAACGTGTACTCGACCATGGTGCATTAAATAATAATGTCAGTGATTGCGAGAAACTCGACTCCCGCGGCGGAGGTTGCTGTAGCTCCACGAGGTCGATCGAGAGGGGTAAGGGATGCTGAAGGATGCAGGAGAGGTTTGGTGGAAGCGAATGGACCAAGGGATGCAAGAGGAAAGACGCGGCCTCTACACCCCCACCAGATATATCATCGCCTGGCAGTTATGTGTGTCATGAATTTTAGATTATCCTTGGATTAGATTAAGGGGCGGGGGTGGAAGGTGCAGTAAAGGCAGCCAACCAGCCCCTTGGTCCACCAGTCAGTACCGTAGTTGGATAGCAGCGTGCCCGCGTGAATTATTTTCCGGTCCTCTAACATCCCACCTCCTACTCGACGATTGATTTCTCACTTTTCGCTGGCTGGATAGCAACTTTCGTGAAGAGCGTTTATAACGTTCTTCATTTACCTCTGAAGTTAAGTACTTTGATCTCAATTTTCTACCAAGGATTCTTTGCTTAAATAACCTAATCCATATACTTTATACAACGTTAGATCCTTATCTCACTGCAACAACAAAATAAGAGATATCCAATCAAGATATTCTGGAATCTCGAAATTTTTTAATCTTAGTCAAACCTGGTCATCCAACGCAGAGACAAAGCCAAGCTTTCTACCAAACGTCCAAAAGTTCGAAAACATCCTAACCTAACCATACCTGGACACTCAAAGGATAAACTAAGAGTAAGTCTACCTCCATACACCATTCGTCTCCCTAAAGCTATTGCAGGAGTGTCTCCACGTTCGAAAATCGAGTGGACAAGACTAAAAGGAGGAAGGGGAGAATAGAATGGAAGAAACGAGGAGCTAAACGGTACTTCCCCGCCTCCTGGGCAGAACCGATGCCGAATCAATTCGCGTAATAGTCTCTGGGGTAGCGGTGGGAAGGCAGGGGTTAAATCGACTGCAACTACCTCCACCATAGCCCCTTTTCTCCAACAGAGACGTGGAACCGCTCGGATACGGGCCATTACCACACCTGTCCCTCAAGTTTCGCCCCCGAAGAGAAGGAGATCGGCTCAAACGAAACGAGCCAGCCTCTAATGAAGAGAAGCAATCACTTAAGCCGGCCGTTAGACTGATCGGACGTGGGAACGCGTTTTATCTGGCTCGGGCCACGCTTTTATGCGCCACTACGAGAAACGTTTATAGCCATTTTACTGCGTCGGAATGGCACACACCATCTGAATGCTCTTGACGAGCACTAACGGCATTACCAACGAATTTTCTGAATTTTCGAAGGAGCTTTAAGCTAGTGGAATTGCTTATCAAAATGGTAGAGAACTTGATGTCTTTTTTTATTCGAAATTTGACTTGGTTTTTCAAATTTTTCGATTTTTCAGGGAATGGAATTCTTTTGGAATCTACGACCTTTTTCTTAAGCTTTAGTCCCTAAGTGAAGAAAGATTGTATTTTTCCCGTTGGTAAAGATGACATGAAAAAGATATAGAGACGACTATTAACCTTGAAGAAGATAATTCACGAAGAACAAGATCCTAAGAGTCCTGGAGGACGGTGTTTCTTTCTCCAAAATCAATTTACCGTCAAAAATGATAGAAAAACGACTTCTGTTGCGTGATTTAAATAAATCGTTATCCTGTTCGTTGTGTTTTTACAGCTAATTGATTTTGGACCAATCAGCAATACCCCGTAATACTTTAAGAGCTTTTTTACAGAACTGAAACAAGCGTTTTATATTTTCACATACATTTATTTGAAAAACGACAGCGTTCAATCTTAGCATACCTACAAAGGAAAGGGTATCTTCGCAAATAAAACACTGATTTAGAAAGGGAAAAAAAAAGGATCCTGATGATTTTCTAGAACGAACGGATGAAAGGAATAACCCTTAAAATCGGATATTCCCACGTTCAATATTTCTATTTAAGCGAAATACTTTCTGAATAAATAAAATAAATTAAAACATAACAGGGGAATGTAAGTTTCGTGTGATATCTCTAACTAACAAATATTGTTTGCAATTAAAAAATGAAACGATGTGTTCCAATAGAAAGTCGGACTGCACGTGTGACAAACCGAATACCACAAGCAAACAGGAAATAATTAAAAGAACAGATTTCGATAGAGAAAAACTGGATAAAGGGACACTCGCACAGGTTGTCTTTTATGCTATTATTCCTCAAGATTTATTTCCAATGGCATGGTCACGTAGCACACAGAGAGCCAAGAGAAAGTAATCGAGAGACGGATCGTTTCGATTGTGCGCGTGCATTGGTACAATACATGTGTATCGACAAAGAAGAGCAGTGGAACGCTATGACTGTACCGGAAACTGGTCTTCGAACCGTGAGGTAATGATCTCGATAACGGTCCCACGCAGCGTCGTAGAATCATGAAACGCAACGATACATTTAAAGATTGAATTTCTTAAACCTAAAAAGAAAAGAAAGGTGACAATCCGTGTTCTCTCGGCGCCATGATAATTCCTTCTATATAGGTTCGTGTACGAACACACGCAGAGAGAAAATGAAAATAGATTTCACGTCTGTTTGGTCGCTGAAAGACATATTCGAACGGTCTTTGCGTGCTTACGTGACGCTTTTTCTTTTCTGTATCTTTCTTTTTTGCTTCCTTTTATTTCGTTCCTCCATATTTTCCTTTTCTCTTTCCTTTTTTTTTTTTTCTTTTACAATAAAAAGCCGACTTTTGATTATGGGCCCCGAGGATCGCAATTCCTACCGATGAAAAGTCGAACGATGATCCTTCCATTCATCGATTACAACAACAATAATCGTAATAATCATAATTATAATTATGTAATAAAGTGTTCAAACGACAGCATAAAATAAGATTTCACCGATCACAATGAGACGATTGCCAGAAGCTTATCATATCGGTATACAATACTGAATAAAGTCAAGAGTAGCGTGTCAGTTCTCTCTCGGCTTTTTCATCACTTTCTCTCTTTTTTCTTTTTTTGTCTTTTTATTTGAATCCGTGTTCTTTCTTTTATCTTCTCCTAGCGCGACGATTCTCTCCTCTATATATTGAATAAAGTGACTCGAGAAAACGAATCGTTGGATACTTGGTTTCCCTCGTTTTTGACGTACAAAATTCGCAAACAAGCATTCATCAGCACCTTTCGTTGCACCTTGACAAGCATATGTTTGTGTATGTCAGTGTATATAATTTGTTAGTGTTAGTGTGTAAGAAAGAAGGAGAAAGGGGCATAGAGCAGTCTCTCTATATTTGATATTTAATAAGAAATTCATGCAAAGAAAACTCGTTTTTTGTAATCTCTAATTTCGAGTGTTCTTCTCATCTATTAGGTATGTGTGTATGTATATAGAGAGAAAGATTTGTGTGTGTATATATCTATACACACACACACACACACGCACACGCACGCACGTGCACACGCACACGCACACGCACACACATATGTGTATATATATATATAATGTATACTTAAGTACTAGGCAGTCAAGGTGTGCAACAATAAAAAGAACACCGTTTTACGACATTTTTCTTTCTCTATACCGAGTGTGAACACTGGACAGAGGAATTCGCTGGCGCTTGCGAGACGCGAGAGAACAGAATTCGATTACCACGAGGATGTTTCTTGTTGCTGGTGTTCTTGTTCGTCATTGGAAAAGAAAAATCTTCGTGCCGCAAGGATAGGATAATCAGGTACTAGGAACAGCCCCATAAAGTTCCAATCCTTTGAGCGAAAGAAAGGATTTTTGCCTCTTTTTCTTTCCTCTTCTGTGTCACGCGACCCAATCGAGAAGTACTAATAATCTAATAACGGTACTTACAAAGTTACATTACGTTTCTTTCTGTCTATCTTTAAATTCTATAAAAAATATCGAGTCATTCTATAAATGAGAATTAACAAAGAATCAAAGCGATCCAAAATTTCTAATACGATACACGACACGTTACTTAGGCTTCTCGATTGGAATGATTTAGAAAGATTCATATATTATACGTACACATGCATACATACGTACATACATACATATAAGCATGCACACATACATACACGCATGGACGCGCGCGCCTGCCCTCACACATATAGATATATATATATGTGTATATATACGAATACGTCTACTTTACAATTTAGGGTGGTATTTGATTTATCCATGATCCATTACATTAAAAAACTAAATTCATCAATTAGTTATAGATTATTCTAAAAATACGCATGCTAAAATGTAATTCAGAATACAAAATGAGCGATTTTGCGTTCTTCAAAGAACGATCTAATAAAATGCGTTCATGGATTAAGGATAGCGGGGCACCTATCAATTATAGTAAGTGAATACATACGTTCACAAAGTCCCAAAGGATAGGAACTCCTTCCAAACACTGCCCGCACGAAACATTACGATTAAATATAATACACACCGTATAATAATTACAATAATATAGTATTAATTAAGAAATATTATGTTAATAGTTATTTAACCACTTGTATGGCTCAGTCTATTACGCTAGTCTCATGCAACAACAACAATAAAGATACAACAATATATTTACTTATGTTTGTCTCATTTAATTACTTTACTTATGCATTTTCACTTCTTGCTTCTATGTTTACTCGCGATGCAATCATTCTGTAAAGTCTCTCATACACTCTTCTACTCTCGCTCTCTCTCTCTCTCTCTCTCTCTCTCGCTCTCGCTCTCGCTCTTTCTTTTTGCAAATAGAAAAAACTTGGAAATTTGTCAAATATCAATTAACTTCTCGTTTCACCTCCGTTTTTTTTTTTTTTTTTTTTTTTATAATAATTAATTACTTTAATATAATATTAAGTATAAATAGACGATTCTATTTGTCTGACACTGCTTATTTTCCATTCACTGTCGTATTTCGTTATAAATTTACTTTGCTTTTATGTTGAGTGAAAGTCCCGAGCAATAATAAATAATCGCGAGCCACGTAAAATCTCGACGTAAGTCATTCACAAAGTATTTACTTTTATTTGACAAAATCATGTATAATATTATATTTACAACGATACACAAGATACTACGACAGTATGTATCAAATATTTTTTTCATTCAAAATTCCATTTCATTGTAGTATAAAATTGAATAAGGGAACCTGAGAAAGAGGTCTATTATAAATATATCGTGTATTTGTTTGTTTATGTGTATGTGTGTGTGTTCATTTGCATACCACTGAAAACATTCTGCCTCTAGCTTAGGAACTATTTAAAAAATATATATATATGTATATATAAATATATATCTCGTGTTTATGTGTATGTGTGTTCGTATAAATTTGAATATACTATTTAAACACTAGTCAATTCAGCGACAAATATAAGAGACGAAGTGAAAAAATGATCTCAGCGACATTTGTTTCGCGTGTATTATTTACAATACAATATTGGCATATAATAAAAGCAGATAATAATAGTAAGGTATAATAATAGTAATAATATTAATAATAATAATAATAATAATAAAAATAAAAAAAATATGCTTTTTCAATATTTCTGTGTAATCTATATAGAGAAAATTTACGGACTTTAGTCGAGAAATCGTACGTGGCTCGATTCTGTTTATTTTTATTTTGTTTACTTCCAAGCCCTTAAGTAATTATAAAAAATAGTAATATCACAAAAATGGCGCAGGCAGAGCAAGGAAAGGACCAAAATTTGGGATAAAGAGTAATGGCAATATGAAGGTTGCCAATTGACAAACATGGATCGAGTTAAAGGAGCGGTCACGAATGTACATGATAAACCTTTCTGTTCTCTACGCAAAACACGGTTCTTTCTTATTCTTTTGCTTTTCCACTCAAAACGACGAAAACAGAGAGTGCACGTTTCATTTCTCGTGATCACCTGATATTTGTTCTCATTTTTTTCCCGTCAAAGTAGAAATAGAACAGTAAAATAATATCATTTCCTCTCGTTTAGTCTATGGTGACGATAAAAAAATATTCTCACTGTCGGATTGTACTTGTCACACGCGTTGTTATGACTACATGATGGCATCTGTGCTTTTCTTTTTATCAAGCGGATGGGAATCGTTCGGCTTGAAAACTATTTCGAATTGGCCGAAAAGATCGTCTCGCTTATTATGATCGCGTAACAGATACAACGCGTTTTTCTTTGTTTTTGTAATATCTAATCTCGCCTGCGCTAGTTCATCCTGCCAGTTCTTTTTTTATATATATATCTTTTTTTTTAATTTTTATTAATAAAGTTTGATTGACAACAGTGACTCAACGACAGTTAATTTAATTCCATGATCTCCATGTTGAGCTTTTTTTTCTTTACTTATTCATGTTTGCCTTTTTATATTTTTTTAACAAATAAACGAACGAAATAAAAATTACAGTTTACGTCATAAAAGTTCTAGAAATCGATTTCTGTGATTTTTCGTACAGAATTCACGATATTTGATAATACATTTGTTATTAGTTTTTGTTTTTCATTTGTCATCGATGCATAAACGTATTTCTCATTTAAAGATTTCGTTTTCGTAGTTTCTTTTGTCAGTGAAAACAACGACGACAAACGCAATCTCGTCTTTTTATAATAAAAAGTGCTTGTTTTTTGAACTGGCCCAAAAAC